ATTAAGCTTTGAAGTCAAGTTGGTCAACCAGGACATGTTTATAATTACCTGTTTTTAGAATCATTGAAACGTGACCGATACCTGTTAAAATCAGGTGTGTTATATCATATTTTCCAATCAATCATTCAGCTGGGCCTGTCCACATTCAATAGTGGACTATAGTGTTCAATCTAAGATTAAACAATGTGTTGAGTGTGAAAAAATATTGAATAAAATTTATAACAAATTATTTTACTGTAAAACTTAGTAAAAAATGTTCAATGTTTAATTGTCAGTGTATCTTTATGCTTCATGGCACAAAGTTGCAAGGTGCGAATTAAGAAATAATACAAATGATAACAATGTGTATTCATTATAAAAAAAATTGCTGAAAACCATAAGCACATTCAAGTAAATTGTGATGCAGTATTTACAATTTTCCATACAGACCCAAAACATTTTCCAAATGATGTTTATAATGGTACTCCATATAAAAAAAATGGGAAAGTAGTCCCTTGAAAAAAATGGAGGATATTTGAATTTTTTGTTTTAATTATATGGACGTGGTTTGCTAAAACAAAGATAGTTTTCAAAATTTGAAGTCTTGATGGTTGTAGTGTATATATTCAGGTATCTCTGTGATACTTTGTGATTTCCCATGTTGAGTTGTTTACACTGTAGCTGCGCAGTGCTGAATGGTATATTTGCATCATATATTCCAAAGTTACAAATTCCAAAGTTATTATTTTTTGTTTTCATTCATTTTTTATTGTTCAGTATCATCTCAAGCACGTCTAGACAACAAAACAAAGGCACTAAAGGTGTTGTGAATGATTTATTGAGGACAGCCCCCCCCCCCCCATTTCAGGTGTTGTGACAATGTTTGTCACTTTACCTTGACCTTAAAGAGTAAGAATTAGTACATTTACTTGTAAGTATTGTTTGATTTTTGTAATGTTGATAATCGTGGAAATGTAGAAATATTTTGATTATTTGTTAAACATTGAGATATGTTTTATAGGTGATCTTTTTCTGTTCCTGATAATTTTAATGTGCTACGGATAGTGTTATCTATATTGTTACTCTGGTCGTTACTGTTCCAGTCAAATATTTAGTTTAGTGACTGCTTCCAACCTCGTGGGTTTTCTCCGGGTCCTCCGGTTTCCTCCCACTGCTAAAGACCTCTACGCGCAAACGAATTATTGAAATAAAATTATACCATATGATAGTCCCGAAATGACCTCTCTCTCTCTCTCTCTCTCTCTCTCTCTCTCTCTCTTTAGTGACTACTGTGTGCGCGTTTACCACCAACTCATCGTCATCTCTTCAACGTAGAAGCGTGATTCGTCGTGCTGTTTCATTCAAGTGATAATAATGAACTCATTAGAGAATAATTACATGTAGTTATGTTATAATTGTACTAATATTGAATCGTAGTTATATAAAGATATTTAAATTATACTGTGTTTTTGTTAATGTGAACTATAAGTACACGATGTCAATCCGCTCCAAAAAGAACCAAAGGTCCAATTTTGTGACAATGTGTACACGGAACCTCGGTGTTTTGTTCCTTCACTGTAAAGGCGCAACCACACCAGAAAACACCGACGAACTTTCTCGACCCCATAAATAGAACACAATTAATATGGCGTAAACTTAACGTAAATCTAACCATCAATGTTAATTGTGGTAACGTCTATACTGATATAACCGATTGATATAAAAAAACACGAAGACGATTAGGTGGCTGTACACATAAGATTGTGAGAAAGGGGGTGGATCACTAACAATGAAGTTCCCGGATTCAATTCCGGTATTGGCTAAAGGTGTTTTAGGGTGGTCTCCCTTGGCAGTACCCGGCCGGGCCAACGCAAAGTCTCTAGAAGCTCGAGTGGAGACGCCGCTGAACGTCTTCAATATCTCGCCTGTAGTTCAGCTCTGAACGCAAGTCACGATACACTCGCCCTCTGCTTTCAGGAACGGACGTTCACGGGAATGACACAGGACCGTTTGGTTGTAAAAAGGTTCTAGGAGTCAATAGGCCCGTCCCTGAACGTACAGGGCAAGTGTAATGAGACTTGCGTTTAGAGCTGAACTATCTCGCCTGGTACAGAAACGTTAGACTTAAAGTAGCTAAGTTTCTATATCAATATCATCCAAAGTCTTCGACAATGAAATCACGAATTGATTGTCAATTTAAATCAACATTGATTGTGTAATCTTACCGGAAAAAGATGGGCTTGTTATATCCAATATTTAAAACAAAATAAACATTTTACCATTGGTACACAAATCGTGTACCATAATGTGTTTCAGCGCCATTTGTAACAATGGACTAGAAGAACGAGGCTAGACATATTCCAGAAGCCATGTCAAACGATGACGACATATTCTTATCTGGAGAGCCTATGCAATAAACACTATCGGTGTAGACTGAATAACCAGGCGCTAGAGATCGCCATTTGATTAACACTTTTGGCGTATTTCGCCGAACATGCTGAATTAAAATTATTAAAGTAAAAACGGAAACGATTGAATGTAAATCAGTTTATAAACATTCATAGTTCGGGGGTTGGATGGCCGAATGGTTAGTACGTGCGCGCTGTATCATAAGATTTGTCTTTGAGTGAACTGGCGTGGTTTCAATTCGCTGGTTGTATGTGACAAGGAGTAGGGTCGCCTGTCCACCCTCATGAGTTTTCTCCGGGTCCTCCGGTTTCCTCCCACTGCTAAAGACCCCTACGCGCAAGCGATTTATTGAAATAAAATTTAAACCATACGTTAGTCCCGAAATGACCTAGTATGTATCGAGTGGACGTTAACCCCCCCCCCCCTCTCTCTCTATCTCTCATAACGTTACATGTATGTTCATAAACATTTCGATCTTATAAAAAACAAACAATCACGTAATTGTAGACCTGGACTTCATTTTTGTGTCGACGCTACTGATAAGAATATACTTTCACACTCAATAAAAAAACAATATACTCAATTCATTCGTGAATCACGTTTTTAATATCATCCCTCGGGGTGAAAACTCAAACAAAACAATATACCCAATTCATCAATGAATCACGTTTTTAATATCCCTCGAAGTGAAAGCTCTTAACAACAAACACTGGGAGGTGGCCATATTAACTATGAAAATGTTAATAGCTTTTCAGTGTATTTCACTTTGAATTCAAATAGCCACACATCGCCAAAAGCATACTGATTTAATTATTTAAACACCGCTTGAATGGTGGGGAAATCATATTTTCAATAGTTGGAAAAACATCTTTTCAATGGTTGGAAAACATTTTTTTCAGAAGTGGGAAAACATTGAAAAGGTTTATACAATTGGGTTAATGCGATAGAAGTAAATATATGAACTACTATATGTAGCTTATTTATATTGTTAGAAGAGAATAAGACGAGAGAAAGAGAGAGAGAGAGAGAGAGAGAGAGAGAGAGGGAGCCCATGAGGTTGGACATGGTTAACGTCCAGTCGACACAAACTAGGACATTTTGGGGCCAACATATGGTTAATTTTATTTCAATAATTCGCTTCCACGTAGGGGTCTTTAGCAGTAGGACGAAACCGGAGAGCCCGGAGAAAACCCAAGTGGCTGGATGATTCGGAAGAGTAGAGTATGAAATGAAATGAAATCTGGTTTAACGTCCTACTGTTCTGCTCTGACTGGGATAATGAAGACGGACATATAGTGTGCTATGAGGAAAAGTTTGCCCGAACAGAGCCACTACGACCTACGCTTATATTGAATTCAAACTGCCAAGGGTTCTTTCAGGTGCACGCCAATGTGTACGATTGACCTCGGTGTTTCATCCCGTCTCAATGAGTATACGTTGTCCCCTGGTTTGTATTATTTTTTTCCTGGTGCACATCTGTAAATACAAACGTTCAAGTTTCGGTCGCATATACACAGCCTGGAGGTCGGGTGTTCGATCCCTGTATTGGCCGAGAAAGTTCATCCAGATTTTCCGGCGTGGTTCTCCCTTGTCAGTGATGCAGGACGGAGGGCCTGACAAGGACAGCTGTCTAGTCGTTCGGATGGGACGAAAAACCGAGGACCCGTGTATATATTGGCGTGCACGTAAAAGATCCCTTGGCATTTGGAATTCGATATAAGAGTAGGCCGTAGCGCCGCTGCCCGGGCAAAATTTCGTCTTCATTAGCCCAGTTTAGGAGCAGAACAGTAGGACGTTAAACTCCATTTCATTTCATTTCATTTTGCATATACACAGTGGTGATCTTATTATGTATGTACTTGACGGACAGTAGGACGGACATGGGTTTTAACATCCACTCGATACAAACTAGATCACTTAGCAACTGATATATGGTTCAATTTTATTTCAATAATTATCTTGAACCTTGGGATCTTTAGCAGAAGGGGGAAATTGGAGGACGCGGAGAAACCCTACGAGGTTGGACCGACGACCCTACTCCTTGTCACGTATAAATTTGAAATCGAAACCATGTAATTCGAGTCAGTTACAATCTGATTAAAATACAGATCTATATTTCGTTTCGTTTTTTACACTTTCGATGCCCTACACTACATGGAGATCTAACCGGTTGTACTGGAAGGTTGTACGAGCGGCTCTTGACCCTATGACGTCAGACATTGATTAATCAATCAGCGTTGACGTTTCTAGTGGTTTACCCACAGTTCTGTGCCTCGCACACCAAGAACTCGCCGTAACAGACCGTTTCATTGGCTAATCCCTCACTTCAACCTAAACCCCGGTAATATAACAACTCCTCCAGATTTTATTGTAGTAAAGACAAGTAAAACGAAATTTAGAACTATAAAAAAAGACGAAACGAAATAGGATTTGTGTTTTAATCAGATTGAGTCACTTACGGATAATATAACATATCACACATGGACATGACCTTAAAACTATAGACCCCACCTGATCTATAGTGATATCAATAGATAACCTGTCCTAGATATATATATTTATCATATCTATATACCAGGTGTAATAGTATATAATCACACGGTGGTATATATCTTTACTTTAATATACCTCGTGTTATGACATAGTGGCTCAACAAGAATTCAATATGGCCTATATCCGAGCTCTCCTGGCATTATGCTGTCTAACAGGTACTCTTTTTATCCTTTATCCTTTTAGGCTATAATTTCCATATATAAAAACATTTATTTATATACTTCAATCAACTGAACTGAAATGATGGAGTTCGCCGTCCTACTAATTATTTTTTATAACATTCTCCGTCTTATATACTTGAGGGTTATTTAAATAGTTTTATAAAACACTTACTTATGTACTTCATGAGATTGTACAAGCTTGGAGTTAGCTAATGTAGACAGACACAGACCACACAGTGTGCTACGACCTACTCTTATTCAGGGCTTTTATTATATTACGCCAACATGTACATTGGACCTCGGTTTACCCATCCTCGGCTTCCCTCAGTGGTCTCATTCCGTTCTACTCTGTAATACCCTTGGTTCAACCATAGGGTATTCATCTATTCAAATTATCTGTCCTTGACCGTAGCTTGAGTTTACGAACAAATCAAAAAATAGTTTACAAACCAGCCTTAGACCCATTGCTTACGTTCACAACAATATGGCGGCTTCTTTGTTGCAACAAGATGAGAGTTACTTTCCTTCGCCAACCTCCTTTATATTTCACGAATTGTTTCGGTTGGTCAAAAAAAAATAGAAATCGTCAAGGGCAGATACTTTGAATACGTGTACCTCTCGTGGATGAAGCCAGGGGATACCGATGATGCGGTTTACCCTACCTCATCTTGAACTAGACGTTATTTCCTGTCAAGGCATCCACCCTGCATCCCTGAAACGGTGGGGGAATCCCCAGGAACATTCTTGGCCAATACCGGAATCGATCCCCTCCTGGTAACAAGTCAGCGTCTTACTTGCTGACCCACAGCGTCTCCTAGTAAACTCCATTATTTATAAACTTCATTATAAATTGGGGTTGTGTATATAAAACTTTTTTAAATTGTTATCGGGCTACGAAATCATAGACATAAACTCTGTGATATTTTCTTATTTTCTTGCTAAAAGACATAAATTATATTTTCAGTGCCAACTTTAGCTGCTGGGTTGTTGAATTTCTTTGCTATTGGAGATATGGGTGGTGCGCCTAAATTCCCTTACACTACCCCTATACAGGTGGCTACGGCGCGGGAGATGGGTATTCTCGCTAATCAGCTGGAACCAGAGTTTATTCTAGCCCTAGGGGATAATTTCTACACAATGGGAGTAAAAAATGTTGATGATCCTAGATTAAAGGTATAGACGTGTTCACCTCACATAATATCTATTTTTGGTTTTTTTATTCTGTTAGGTTTCGTGACGACAATATAGGAGATTCCAAGCAAATGAAATGGGGTTCAAAGTCCTACTTTTCTGCACCAACCGGGCTAGTGAAAACATACGCCATGAAGCGTGTGCTCTGGAGGACATTGTGTTTTTGTCATCGAATTCAAACTGTCAACGTTTTTTTAACTGTTCACAGAGAATCTATACTAATATCTGTGTCTGTCGTGTGATTGTCTACCTGTCCGTCTGTTTGTTCAGAGTTTGCGGCTACACTAGGGCTGCCCCGAGGCTGAAATTTGGTGCATAGGGGCAAGTCAGACCGGGTAGTAATAAAGACATGGTGGCCATGGACTATCACTTCCGGTTCATAGCTATAGGTCGAATCAACCACTCGTAGCTCATATTAACTAGAACAAAACGCCAACGAGTTAACAGGATTGTTATTTCATTAAAATCATAAGCTACACTGGGTTTTAAATCCGTTTCGAGACATGTTTGAAAACGCAATTAAAAGCAGAAGCCAATATATAGGCAGATCGTTTTAAGTTCATTCCGTTTTTAAGTTCCCACCTTATCAGGATGCGGCAATGACTGTATTTTTTTTAAGCGGCGGTGAAATTTACCGTCCAGATCTAGTCAAAATTATGCCGTTGATGACCACCATTTGTATTACGGATATCAGGCGAATCTCGGGTGATATTGCAAGTCGTTGCTGTAGCAAATGGTTTATTTTCATAATCGAATAGGCAATATCAATCTTTATAGAAATCCATATTTTAAAATTATAAAAATCATTTTTGAAAAGAGAGGCCTACAATACATCTTGTCGATATATCTCCAAGTCCCATTAATTTCATATAAAGCATTTATTCTTTTATTCTTTGACTTATTCCCGATTCGAAACTGGACATTCTGGTCCATAACTGTAGGACGTATCCTAGATGATTTTGTCAGATTAACGTCAAACGTGTTCATCAGCGTACTGGGGTGATTGTACGTTGAAGTATCCGAACTCTCAACAAATGAAATAAAATGAATTGGGGGTTTAACGTTCTACTGGGCTCATGGAGAGGGGCATGCGCCATACAGTGTGCTATGAGGGAAATTTTTCCCGAGCGTCGGCACTATGGCCTACTCCTATATCGAATTCCAACTGCCAAGAGATCTTTCACGTGCACGCCAATGTATACATTGGCACTCGGTTTTTCGTCCCATTCGAACGACCAGACAGTTGTTCTTGTCAGGCCCTACATTCTGCACCGCTGACAAGGGGAAACCTCTCCGGAAAAAACTCTCAACAAAATGAACGGAATCAATTAGGTTCGATCGCACCAGCCCATAAACAACAACTAACTTTCTTTTATCCATCAAAGTGTCGCATTTACCGAATACGCGAACAACCAGACAGTTGCCTTATACGCAATTATTGACGTCATTCTGTACTGGTACAAATTCGAACCAAAGACAATAATGGAAGTGATCGAGACTTGGAATCGATTTGAACTAAAACACTTTCCCCAGGAATGTATTAAGTATTTATGTTTGTTAAAAGCCTACTTATTTACTGGACGTATGTACTAAGGTTTTAATAGTACTATATTGCTTTTAATAGGTGCGATTTTTATATTTGAAAAGATCGATTGCTTCATTATTGTTTTACTTTTAATCATATACAAATTTCATAAATAATTATACACATTTTATTAAATGTTAAAAGGTCGGTGCAGTGCTAGTACAAAACTTTTATAATTGACCCTGTATATGTAAGCGTACGACGCATTTTAATTTAAAGTAGCTAAGTCTCTAACTCAATATCATCCAAAATCTTCGACATTGAAAACACGATTTATTTGTCGGTTTAAATCAACATTGATGTTGTGATCTTACCGGGAAAAGATGGATTTCTGATATCCAATATTTAAGACAAAACAAACATTTTACAATTGGTACACGAATCGTGTACCATAATGCATTTCAGCGCTAATTGTAATAAGGGACTCGAAATTGCTAAATTCTCGGTTCAGAGTGGATCAATTTGATTGAAATTTTCCGCAAATTCCATTTACATTGTCTAGTTTTTAAATATTATAGTGATAACTGCCAGCTCTTTATCTAATCTCCCATAATGTATCGTGTACACATTGGCGTGGATGTAAACGATCTCTTGCCACTGTCCGGGCAAAATTTCTCTCATAGCACTGTATTGCATATGACCGTATTCATTAGCCCAGTAGGAGCAGAACAGTAGGACGTTAAACCCCATTTCATTTCATTTAATCCAGAAATGTTCAGATGGTTTCATAAATAAACAAGAGAGTGAAATTTAATAAGTAAATTAGAGTCTTATTCTCAAGTAGAAGACCCTTCACCATCATATTAATTATCTCCTTCTCCTCCACGTGGTATGGGGATCATAGTGCCTAAGTGGGTAAGACGCTGGCTCGCTAGCCTGGAGGTCGGGTGTTCGGTCCCTGCATTGGCCGAGAAAGTTCATCCAGACTTTCCGGCGTGGTTCTCCCTTGTCAGTGATGCAAGACGAAGGGCCCGAAAAGGACAGCTGTCTAGTTGTTCGGATGGTACAAAAAAACGAGGTCCCGTGTACACCTTGGCGTGCACGTTAAAGATCCATTGGCCGTTGGAATTCGATATAAGAGTAGGTTGTAGTGCCGCTGTCCGGGCAAAATTTCCCTCATAGCACACTATATGCCCGTCTTCATTAGCCCAGTTCGGAGAAGAACAGTAGGAAGTTAAACCCCATTTCATTTCCACGTGGTATGTTTTATTCTCCATTCATAAGATCCGTCTAGTATAATATACCGTATAAGTCCCGCACCCAAAGGACTATTTATCGTCCATTGTTCGAGTTATCGTTTGAGATGTCGCTAATGGACATCCACCATTATCTTGTTCACGATTTCCATTACGTTACGATACCGTGTGGCGGTTCCACTTGGTACTCTGTTTGGTTCAGTACCTTATTTTTAAAACTAAATAAACGCGGTAGCTCAGTGCGCAAGACTATAGTTCACTAACGAGGCGGTCCCGGTTTGACTTCCGGTTTTTGAGATGTGGTTTCCCCTTGTCGGTGGTGCAGGACTGAGGACCTGGCAAGGATCAGTGTCTAGCCGTTGCTTGCACATAAAAGAACCCTTAGCAATTGGAATTCGTTATAATGGTAGACCATAGCGCTTCTGTCCGGGAAATTTTCCTAATAAGCCCGTGTTGGAGGCAGACCACTATTAATTTCTCCATTGACTCCAGTGTTAAATCAGTGGTGTTCTACATGCTGTAGCCCATTTCCTAAATTTCGTTGAGAACTTCGCTTTACATCACAGCAAGTATGACATCATGGGATCATCAGAGTACTAAATTTGTATGAGGTTGACCACCAAAATTTCAATTCACTGAAATTCATAGCAGACTGGGGTCAGAATATCATGTCCGTGTTAGTGCAAAAACAAAACAAAGCCTCTTAACTCCTAGTAGTCTTCCGCCTTAAAAAATATCAATCTGACACCAAACCAGGCAGAAAATAGAAATTCAATGCCTCTTCATCAATTCTACACCAAAAAGTCAATACAGATAAGTATGCAAAATGGCAGGAAAGGAGGGAGAAAAATATATCTAAAAATAGCCGGCACTACAATTTGTGGGTAGCGAGATATGGAAAATTAATGGTGGTCTGCCTCCTATTTATTTGCCCAGTCGTGAAGAAGAGAAGAACGATAAACACCATTTTATTTCATTTCAATGCAATCAAAATGAAATGAAATGGGGTTTAACGTCCTATTATTCTGCGCCAACTGGGCTAACGAAGAGAGGCATACGCCATACAGTGTGCTTTGAGGGGAATTTTATCTTGACAAAAACACTACGGCCTACTTTTATAACGAATTCCAATTGCAAGGGTTACTTTACGTGCACGCCAATGTGTACACAGGAACCCTGTTTATCGTCCCGTCCGAACGACTATACAATCAAAGATTTATACTAATAATAAACAGCTAGGTTGTTAAGACATTTGAATAAAAGGGATGGGGCAACATATTAAATCAATTCTAGGCTGTGTCCATAAGAAAACCAGTAACCAAATATTATTGATGTGTTACTGGTGCGACACATGGAACCAAGTGAAATCGGTTTCTAATTGAAACTGAGACACCACTGCCTAATCTGTCGGTTGTTGTTTTTTCCGCTTTGGTATTGTTAGTGGTCGGTTTATTGTCCGTGTAAATATAAGCGTGGGCGAAAGTCAGTAAATGGTCATTGTTATTATTATGCATCGACTAGAGGATGGGGATTAGGGGATGGGGGTGGTTCGAGACATAGAGTCAAGTGAAGTTGTTCAATCGAATCCAAGTTTGTACGTGACAAGGAGCAGGTTCGTCTGTCCTTCGGTTTCCCCCCACTGCTAAAGATCCCTACGCGTAATCAAATTATTGAAATAAAATGGCATAGTTTGTGTCAAGTGTTAATGTAGTATTTTTTTTTTCAATATTTATATTTTTTACTAAGGAAACATTTGAAAATATCTACAAAAATCCGGCATTACAAGTACCCTGGTATCTTCTGGCCGGAAATCATGATCACTATGGTAACGTATCTGCTGAGATAGCTTATACAAATCGTTCAAAAAGATGGTAAGTTTCCGAAAATATTATGAAAGATATATTCTTTTTTTTAGTTGTAGGAAACGTTTCATTTGCAGAAAATAGATATGTTATCTAACAATTATAACACCAAGATACAACATATTGGCTACCAATTTGTTTCACAGAAAATTACGAAAGTCTTCTAATATCTTTGTAAAACCCTATAAGCGTCATGTGTATACACCCAGACCAGCCGGTGTGAACATGAGTAAATCGAATTCGATGATCACCGATAGCTCCAATTGTTCCGGGAAATTTACAATATTGAGCAAAACAGTTATTATAGATTTCTTGACGTTTGTGGGGTAATAGCCATTGAATAGTCGTTTTCATTAGAAACTCTGCGGCGTGTACAGTCGTGCGTTGTTGGTTTATATATTCCAAATCTATCGGATAGAGAGCGAAATGGATCTCGGGTAGCAACAGAAACGCCACTGCTTGCTTCGAGATTGTAACTGGCGTGCGGCCATAACCTTGCCTTCCTAACTGCAATTCTGGTAAGCCATGGAGCTCGTTAACAAATTTATCAAACGTTACATTGGTTAAACGAAAGTGTAATTTAAAGTCTTCTAAGGATTGTAGAGCCGGACTGTATGGTCTGCATAATATTCTGTCCTTGGGGCTTTATTTCGGTTCTCCGGATTTAATAGTTCCAATAAGATGTCAATGAAAAAGTCAGTTTTAATTAAAGTTTGTTGGTGGATTATTGTCTGCTCGTCTGGACACCGAGCATAATTGTTTGGCGGCGTTTATCTTCCATTTTGATACCTAAAGAAAGCGCCGCACCGTTCGATTACCCTTTCCCACTGCGCATGTCGAAGTGTACTCAAGGATCCTGGTCGAGTAAGCCAGGAGCAAGTAATCGAACGCGATAATTGTAAACGACCGGATACGTCAATGACCTATATTTGTCTGAATGGTCACAGCTCACTAATAATTTCCCAATTAACTTTAAAGGGCTAATGCCGATAATTTTTTGGAGAATAAAACTGTTTAATTTTGTTTTAAAATCCCTTAAAATCCTCTACCAAACACCGAGCAACTAACTCAATATTTGTGATAAGTTTTCAAATAACTGAAACCCGTCAGTCTTCCTCTGGAAATGGAGACCGGTGTCCCAAGCTGTATTATGCGGTGTCTAGATAAAACCAGACATTTTTTGTATAAAAATAATGTGTAGGTGAAATTTACCTTTCATTATCAAGTGCAGCATTTGGGTCATTCACTGTATAGACCTCTCAATGAACGGGAATCGATTATCAGGTCTCCCAACGAAAAAACTGACTCGAAATCTTAAAAGGGTTATGTGTCCGGATAAGCAGTTTTGACGGTCACGTCCAAACGACTCAATATTTTGAGCTGAAATTTTGAGATACGGCCAATACATCATTCCTCTATATTTTGGCGTTTAAATTTCATACACACTCAGACTTTTATTTTTGAGACTCTGTTAAAATAAGGATAGTCCCTTAAATGTCAATTCTCGTGCATCATGGGATACTTGAGATACACGAACTGGAAGTAGAGACAGAAAATGAAAAATGCATCATTCCGCCCTTTATTTAACCTAACCATTCTCTTAACTATTCTCTTATCCTTCCGCCGCAAACGCATGAATATTCACCAAAACCTGCCCGAACATGTATGTTGGTGGTAAGTGTCCTGGTGGGGGTCACTATGTTCCAACTGAATTATTTCCCTACTATTTGTTTTAGCTTGTTCTATGTATAGAACTGCCAGACATTTGACATACAAACGAAAACATACTTCCCGATGATAATAGGATAATGTCTATTTTAGATATCATTTAAAGACGTGTCTTCTATGAAATCGTTCATTCAATTTTTCTTTTAAAATAATAATCGCCATTGATTTTTGTACATGTTGTTTTGATTAATACAGACACATCTTGTTCCCAAATATTTATTTATCTCTATGAGAACCTCAGATTCACGTGGGCTGTGGAAAATATTCCGAAACAAATGATACTGCCTTTTTAGGAAAGGTCTATTGGAGTACTACTTCAGGGGAAGAAATCCACCAAAATCGGCGTTGGGCAAACATAGTTACAGGCTTTCTTGGTTTGGTACCCACCCGACTTCTAAAAATCCATTTTTTCTCACGTGTCTTCACAGTTTTCGGCATGCCGAGAATATATTTGTGCATTCCAAATGCTTTTCCGCTATTAAACCACCAACAAAATCATTATCGTCAGATTTGAGTAAATTCCCATGTTTGGAATTTATAATTGTTAAGACGCCCCTAATTGTCTCTCCCTCAGAAGCTAAGCTGGATTAGCTCATTTACTAACCGCATGAAAGTTGTTGCATAATTTTGAGGATATCAAGAATTACTATCACCAGACATTTTCTTTGGGGAGGTAGCCCCGCCAGACGTCCCTAACTGCCCCACCCCCAAATGCTAAAGTAGACTAGCTCATTTACTAACTACTCGAAACTTGTATAATGTTCAGCAGATTCACAAGTATCAAGAATGACCACCGCCAGCCTTCTGCCGTGCCTTGGTACCCCCGCCGGGCGTATTAATTGTCCAACCCCCAAAGACATTGTCAGTGATGGGGTGCCCCCGCCAGAAATCTAATAATTGCTCAACCCCAATAGCTTATGTACATTAACACACAACTTACGTATAAAATGTATCTGAAAACCATCAACATATACAAACGAATCATAGATGACCACTCCATGCATCTTCAGTGGTGAAGTACCCCTGCAATCTGGAGCGTACAAACTGTATATCGGACCGTTCCCAACAATAACTGTCTAACCAAGCTCACTGTAAGTCTTTATCTAGAGAACGAATTTGACATGTCTTGTATACCACCCAAGGTGGAAACGGAGGTAAAACCAACCATACGAAGGAACGGCCGAACGATGTTTGCACTACTTAATGATTCTGGTGGTGAACCCTGGACAGAAGAATTCGATTCTGACTCTTGAATTACCATATACATATTATTTCAGACAGAAAATAATAGTTATTCTATCACATGGCACGATTATATGGAACACCGGTTACTATGGTGATTATTTCTGGTAACGTTTCGATGAGGGGTCAATGTTTCCGTTACGTGCACGGCATATAAGGTTTATTTGAAGTAATTATTTACAAAAAGAAGTTAGCCATAAAGGTTCAAAGATAAGATATGTTTTTGGGACTCTCTGTATAAAGGTGTTAGAAATTTGTTATTTTCTTGAGGAATTGTCTCGAATTATAATTCACCTAATCGTAAAGGTTCAAAGATGAGATATATGTTTGTAACTCTCTGTAAAAAGACGTTCATAACAATTGTTTATTTTAGGAATTTTCCCGAATTATAAAATTCACCTAATCGTAAAGGTTCAAGGATGGAATGTATTTTAGGAACTCTCTGTAAATAAAATGTTCATAACAATTGTTTATTTTTTTGGAATTTTCTCGAATTCACAGATGGAATGAATTTTAGGAGCTCTTAAATAAAAGGTTAATAACAATTGTTTATTTTTAGGAATTTTCCGGAATTATACTACACCCAATCGTTCACCATACCTGCTACAAGTAATACAGTAGATATTATCATGATTGATACAGTTACACTATGTGGTAATACAATTTATGAGAAACCCCATCTACAACCACAGGGACCCGATGATATCCTAAAAGCCGAAGCCCAGTGGCAGTGGATAGAAGATAGCCTCAACAAGAGCAAGTAGGGCTGCATATATTTTAATGATTTTTTTTTCATTTTGGAGAATTGGGGCTTTGTGGCCAGGGGTCTTATTCAAAAAATATTAAACTAAACTATTTTAAGAATTTAGTCTTTTCATTGGCCAAGATTAACCCTCAGTGAATGAAATCGCTGTATTCTTAAATATGTTAATACAAGTTTTCATGAATAATGCCCGTGACATCGAACTTGGGCGTTGTTGAGAGCGATTTGAAGTCTATCAAAGACTGCTTCTGGTGATCCAGAAGTGAATTGACATAGTCTAAGTTCGAATTGACCAAGGCGTTAATAATCGTTTTGCGAGCACTCGGGTTCGGGTAGTTCCTAAGTTTAGAGACAGACCACAATTGGAAATATGTTAAGAATTTAGTCTTTTCACTAACCCTCAGTCAATGAAATCGCTGCATTCTTAAAATATTTTAATATAAGTTTTCATGAATGATGCCCGTGGCATCGAAATCCGGCGTTGTTGTAAGGGATTTGAAGTCTATCAAGGACTGCTTCTGGTGCTCCAGATAAAAGTTAATTGACATAGTCTAAGTGCGAAATGACCAAGGCATTGATAACCGTTTTGCGAGCACTCAGGTTCGGGTGGTGCCTAAGTTTAGAGACAGACCTCAATTGGAAATGCACACGGCTTACAATGTTGTTTATATGCGGTACAGCAGGTATCCAAGTGTTTTGACTTTAGATTTTGAGAGAATTTCACAGTTTCCAATCCGGATTGCATCGGCTTTTATTAAATTACGTTTTTCCGCTTTAGATGATATGGCCAGAAATTCAGATTTATCATCGTTTAGCTTCACGAATGTCCACAAGAAGATTGTGCAGCTTCCTTACGGGAAAATGCCATAGAATCGTGGCAATAGTTAATGATTTTGGAAACTGAATTGTCTGTGATCTGCTATAATATGAAGGTACGATTTGATCCACTGAAATGGAGCACTACCTACCCCAGTAACAGTTTCTAACAAGGCTTGAACAAGTGTCGAAGACGGCGCTCAGGTCTAAGAGTGTTACGTGACATGATGAAAGGGCGGGGTGATCTAGATTATTTAACTAGCACGATGAACCATGTGTACTGTTTTATAGATTCTATTTGAAATAAAATCTATATCTATAATAAACATCAAATAAAAGATAGCACGTACAATGATTTAACTGGTCGATTTGTGGAGCATTTGGTTAAAGATGCATGATGTCAGGTTTAGATAAATTACACCTCTCGGTATAATAGTTTAAAAATAAATAACGAAAACAGAATATGCAGAAAATTTCAGTCAAAGTGACTCACAATGAACCAATTTTAGGCTAGCCTAGATCGTCATGACTACTGTTGGTACGATAATGAACAAAGTCTCGATTATCCATTTCTACGTTAAATTATCTATCACAAAACGTATTCAAATTCAATAAATATCGCAGCCATCCGATGTCATCGAGAGTTGATTATGGTCTTGATCAGTTTATTAATGTCTAATTAATAATTTATAAAACATTTAAAACCTTAAAAAAGACCTGTAATGGGCAGATTTGGGTCTTATCATGTTCCTGAAGCAACGATCGCGAGTTTTACAACATCTAACCGTTGCTGCAGAACTGGGAAATACCTGAAATTTTGCGCTCGTTGTGTTTACACGTGATCAATTAGCATTATCCAATCAGTGGTCCTCGCACATAACACACTGTAAACAAATATGGCGTCCTCCATAGAAACTCTTTGTTGATCAGGTATGATTTCCAGCAACCTTGACATTGATCGAACCTTGAACTTTGCAACTTGATTGTCACATGTAGACATTTTAGCTATAAGCGCGAGACTTGATAATCGTAACGATATTTTCAACGAAGGATTCTGATAGGATCACAAGCTGGGCTTATACCCAATCAAAAATAGTGCCAAAATATGCGGGGTATTACGTGAAGGGCTTGATAAGATGTACGTAGTTAAGGCGAGATTAAGCCTTCTATGGAAGATGGGGTCTTATATGATGTAATGCATGTTTAACTTTATATACTTCTGTCTTTAGTGGACTTTACACTCAAGATGTCCCGGTACTTTGGGTTTCCTTAGTCAGTGATGCGCGTATAAATTAACCGTAACAGTTGGAATTCGAAATAAATGTAGGCCGTAGGGCCTCATAGGACTCTGAATGGGGTATTCCCGTCTAATCTGTTTTTGAATTCCAACTGTCAAGGGTTCTTTTACTATACCTCGGTTTTTCGTACAATCCAAACGACTAGACACTGTTCTTGTCAGCCCCCCCCCCGCCTTGCACCACTGAAAAGGGGCATCGCGCTGTACAATCCAGAGCAATTTTCTCGGCCAACACCAGAAGCAAACCTGAGACCTCCTGTGGATGGCCGCCTGGCGCGGTTTCGATTCCCCAGATGTACGTGACAACCTCGTGGGTTTTCTCCGGGTCCTCCTGTTTCCTCCCACAGCTAAAGAACCCTACGCGCAAGCGAATTATTGAAATAAAATTGAACAGTATGTTAGTGCCAAAATAGCCTAGTTTGTGTCGAGTGGACGTTAACCCCATTTCGGCCTCTCCTGTTTAGTGAGCAAGCCGAGCGTAATACTCAATGAGCCACCGCGTCTCCGAAAGATAAGTGGGATCCGGGATTGGAATTTGTCTGGAAATATACTGGTTTATACAGATATAGCACGACGTTTCGACAAGTATTCTCTCATCATTGTGAGAGAGAGAGAGAGAGAGAGAGAGAGAGAGAAATGGGGTTTAACGTCCACTCGACACAAACTAGGTCATTTCGGGACTAACATATGGTTTAATTTTATTTACATAATTCGCTTGCGCGTAGGGGTCTTGAGCAGTGGGAGGAAACCGGAGGACCCGGAGAAAACCCACGAGGTTGGACAGGCGACCCTACTCCTTGCCACGTACAACCGGGGATTCGAAACCACGCCAGTCGACTCAATGACAGACTTTATGAAACAGCGCGCGCACGCTAACCATTCAGCCATCCAACCCCCTCTCATCATAGTACTTGAAAATGTTAAGAGAACACTTGTCGAAACGTCGTGCTATATGTATGGTATATTATGGTCGAGAGCGAGATATATATTGATACTTCACGAGGCGTCAGCCGAGTGTTGTTTCAATATACATGTATTACGCAATGTCTTTAGCTCGAGACCATTAAACAATTTAAAATACATACACTATCCCGCACGTGCTTTTCAATGAAATACTTCACGCGAGTCCAATATTTCATCTAGTATAGATAATGTACGATTGGCAGTTGCCCGTACAGTATTGGAAATAATTGTACGCCAACATCAAAGGATGACATCACATCTGTATTTTAAATGGAATTATACTGTGGAATGCATAAAACTGAATATAATGTTATACATGGGTATATTTCAGAGCCACATATTTATTAGTAGCCGGCCATTTTCCCGTGTATTCTGTAGCAGAGCATGGACCAACTGATTGTTTAGTGGACAGATTACTACCTATGTTGTATAAATTTAATGTCACGGCTTACCTGTGTGGACATGATCATAATTTACAGGTAATTATTTGAAAATTAAGGGGGTGGGGTTGAGGTGGCCGAGTGGTTTTACTTTTAAATGATAAGGTATGCCATTTATTCAGGTGGCGTTGTTTCGATTCACGGCTTGTACCCGAATAGGAATAGGGTCGCACCTGTCCATTCTCGTGGATTTTCACCCGGTCCTCCGATTCCTTCCATTGCTAAGACACTACGCACAAGTGAATTATTGAAATGACTTGTTAGTCCCGCTTTGGCGTAGTTTGTGTCGAGTGGACGTTACACCCTATCTCCTTCTCTCTCATTTGAAAATTTTATAAACCTTTAAAATGAGTGTCTCGCTTGAAAAAAAAACCGACCTACAGGCATTAGACAATATCAGCTAACCAAAGAAACGAAAGGTAGCAACAAAAGGGTTATTAAACATAGATTATGCAAGAACTAAATCTGTCTATTTCAGGTCTTTCTTTAGGCCTGAAATGTTATCTAAAGTATTAATTGGACATTAATTAACTTATCATGGCTATAATCAACCTCGATGACATCTTATGTGCTGGTTTTTCACTGGATTTGAATCCGATTTTCTGTTCAACGCTCATTGATGATTTAATTCAAAAATGGATAATCGAGATTAGGTTTTTATCGTACTGACTTTAGTAATGATGGTCGAGGCTAGACCTAAAATTCAAACGCTAATATCTCGGTTCAGAGTGGATTATTTTGATGAAATTTTCGGCATATTCTCATTACATTATCTAGGTTTTAACTATTATAGTGAGAACTGCCAGCTCTTTATCTAATCTCCCATAATGTATCTTTACATCATCTAGGTTTTAACTATTATAGTGAGAACTGCCAGCTCTTTATCTAATCTCCCATAATGTATCTTTACATCATCTAGGTTTTAACTATTATAGTGAGAACTGCCAGCTCTTTATCTAATCTTCCATAATTCCCCTTTAAGTTTAGAAATTTCCATTATTATTCCCTTACAGTCGTGTCTTGGCTAATTTATCTAATAACTACAAAAAAATATTTAATTTAATATGTAAATAATTTTTAATTTTTTTAGCAACCTTATATAAAATTATTTTGATAATGAAACGTTTTTCGTCAAGCTTTATAGCCACAATATTAATTAACTCGGGTGTGTTGAATATTTCAATATAACATCGTTTAATGACCTTACATGTTGAATATTTCATCATAAGATCGTTAAACTAGCAGAACTTACACTGATTAAAGATAAAGATCTGCTCTACTTTAATTAAAGAACCTAAGTCGCTAATATTTGGAGCTAGAAATTGACACAAATGGTTGGCAACGCATACCATAATGTAATATGAATGTATATAAATTGATTTACATTCAATCGTTTCTGTTTTTACTGTAATTTATAATAAGTTAGGTTCGGCGAAATACGCCAGTATTCTCAATCAAATTTCAATCTCTCTCGTCTGGTTATTCCAGTCTACGCCGATAGTATTTATTGGGCATGCTCTGCAGATAAGAATATAGCGTCACCGCTTGACATGACTTGTAGAATATGCCTAGCCTCGTTTTTCGAGTCCCTTAATACAAATAGCGCTGAAACGCATTATGGTACACGATTCGTGTACCAATTGTAATATGTTTATTTTGTAATAAATATTGGATATCAGAAGGCCATCTTTTCGCGGTAAGATCACAACATCAATGTTGATTTAAACCGACAAATAAATCGTGTTTTCAATATCGAAGATTTTGGATGATATTGAGTTAGAGACTTAGCTACTTTAAAGTCAAGTACTTGTACAGCCGGTTAGCCCAAGGACGTGGTGATCGCTTATTTTGCATGATAAATAAAAACCCATGGGGAAGCACCAAAACCTAATTCGATGGGGGGGGGGGGGTCGTCACTGAGAAATGTGGGCTTTCCCTGGGTCCTCCGCCCCCAACTCCCACACTGCTAATGACCCCTACGCGTAAGCGAATTATTGAAATAAAATTGAACTTTCTGTTAGTCCCGAAATAACCTCGTTTGTGTCGAGTGGACGTTAAACCCATCTCTCTCTCTCTCTCTCTCTCTCATTTCATTTCTAATATTATTTATTACAGCATCTACAGACCACGTCCTCGGCTAAAACCACCATGAATTTCATTGTTACTGGATCTGCTAACATTGTCGATACAAGTATGGCTCATAAGACAAGTGTTCCTGAAGACTCCCTCAAGTTTCATTGGGCGAACCCTCTAGGTCTTGGTGGCTTGGCACATATACAGGCGACGTCACAGAACTTGACTTATAGTTTTGTTGATGCCCTCCTTGGTTCTGAGATTTATACAGGAGTCATTCAACCACGACAGGTCAACTAAATCAGATTTTGCTGGAATGGTAAATAACTACATTGTGCTATAAATCACGTCTGCTGCAAATATTTTATTTTAAAAAATGAATCGTAATGGATTTAACTAATTATACAAAGTAAATTATATCCATTTCTTTCTTTGTTAATTATTTTACGGTAAATCGTTGTTTTAAAAACAATATTATTAATCTTACATATTCAAACATGAATGGCGGCAAACTTTTGCCCAACCATCATTTTAACCCGAACCATCATTTTTCTCGAATAAAAATGCATCGGAGTTTGGAATTCGACATTTTGGAAAGCTTTTATATATAATGCTGATCGCTTTCAAACTGATTAAAATACAGATCTATATTTCGTTTCGTTTTTTATACTTTCGATGGCCTACACTACATGAAGATCTGACCGGTTGTAGCGATAGGTCGCGTCAGAAGTCATACGAGCAGCTTTTGACCCTATGACGTCAGACATTTGATTAACCAATCAGCATTGATGTTACTAGTGTATTACCCACAGTTCCATGCAAAAAACGCCTAAAGCTCGCAGTAACAGACCGTTTCATTGGCTAATAGCTCACATCATTCAGAGCACGAAATTTTGAACTATAAAAACGAAACGAAATAGGATCTGTGTTTTAATCATATTGGATCGCTTTCAAGAATCATGATTTGTAGCGATAATAAAGACAATGGTTCTCACAAAAGCTCACGAATTCAAGGAATATTTCTTTCGTGGTGTTGTTGTGTTTCCATATTTTTTTACTTCTTATATAGTAGTATTGTTCTTTTATACATATTTGTGGATATCACCAACAGACCCATTTTAACCTAGATTCTATTGTACACCTGTCCCTTCCGTGCTGTAGTTTTATTCTAGGTACTAAACAAAACAAAGACAAAACAGAATAATAGTATTTCAAAAATAGGACAAATGAATTATAAATTCTGGCTGACAACATACTTGACTTCCTCCTAGGTAAATTATTTCCCAGTTTTATTCTAGGCACTAAACAAAACAAAGACAAAACAGAATAATAGTATTTCAAAAATAGGACAAATAAATTATAAATTCTGGTTGAAAACATACTTGACTTCCTCCTAGGTAAATTATTTCCAAGTTTTATTCTAGGCACTAAACAAAACAAAGACAAAACAGAATAATAGTATAATTTCAAAAATAGGACAAATTATAAATTCTGGCTGAAACAAACTTGACTTCCTCCTAGGTAAATTATTTCCATATACTGTATTATGATACATTATTTTGGTATCAACCATAATGGTCACAACCCATGTCTGTGGTTCATGGCGGAGCGCTCGACGAGGAACAGTGCCCACAGTCGTACGGATGGCACGAAAATCTGTGGTCCCTTGTACACATTGACGTGCACGAAAATGAACTCTTGTCAGTTGCAATTCGAAATAGAGCAGGCCGTAGTGCCACTGTGTGGGTAAGATTCCCCGCATAGCACACTGTATGGCGTACGACAGCATTCATTAGCCCTGTCGGTGCATAAAAGTAGGACATCAAACCCCATTCCACAATGATCACATCGTTATAGTTATACGACAATTCCTTTTATTATATAATATTATAGTCCTCAAACATTGCTAATGGGTTATGATATTCTGGAGTGATGTGTACTAGTGTCAGAAATGAAGTGGTGCTATTAGTGAAATTTTACCCAGGAAATGGAGTTTTTCGAATTCCAATTGTCAAGGGTTCACTTACGAGAGGTGGGGTTTAACGTCCATTCAACACAAACTAGGGGTCTTTAGCAGTGGGAGCAAACCGGAGGACCATACTCCGTGTCAAGTACAACCCGGGAATCGAAACCACGCCGGTTGACTCAATGACAGACCTTATGATACAGCGCGCACGCACTAACCATTCGGCCATACAACCCCTCTATAATGCGGGGAAGTCTGAATACCAAATTATATACTCATCTCTTGGATCTCATACCATCCGAAGGACTAGACACTATTTCTCGCCAGGTCCTCGCTCTTCCTACACCAGATCCTCATACTTTCTACACCAGGTCTACCTACACCAGGTCTACCTACACCAGTGACATGGGGAAACAATGATAACAATAGAGAATATTCTGTATACCACATTATATACTCACCCCTTGGTTTATGTTCTTCTTGAGATCCTGATTCTATATTATTAATCACCGATTCTTTCAAACTAACATGTTCTATTGTCTTATAAACCACTGTTAAAAAATATAAATAGCTTTACAGTTTGGCATACATTTGGTGAATAAAAATTGTAATTGCGAAATTGAAATAATGGTACCTAAATGGTACCGCCAGATCCATTCAGGTAATCTGATATGTACGTTTGTTTGTGATTTCTAAATACATGTATTGTGTCTTGCCCGTAGATTTGTTTTGTGTAATTGTGTGTTGAGCAGTCCCTCTGCACTTACTTTAAAGGCACGAAGACTGCGAAACTAATTATTGTTATTTTGGGGGCGTATACAGAATTTCCAGCATATATGGGTCCAGAAATTCTAGATCTCCATATTGAAGTGTTTCAAAGTCAATTTGGAATAATGGAAAACTGAGCATGTCATTTCCGATTATTTCGGGCCTCGGGTCGTCAACATTCCGTATGAGCAAGAGAGGGGGTGGGGGCGGATCCTGGCCTTTCCCCTGTCTGCATCTGCGCCTGCATTTACAGAACAAAAAGTTATACTGTGCCCCTTTTCTAAATGCTACTCGATGATTATAAAAAAAACCCTTACCCATTCTTCAATGCAGCATGTCTTTGTCCAGCAGTCGAGATGTTGGTCTAAGAGGTTTGAACAACTCTGCCTTAGAAAATGACACTGACTTACCTAGTGATATCACCACAGATCTCACAAACATATCCAACAGTTTGGACTCTCGAACTCTAGCATAGACCTTTTTACTCTGTTCCACCATATTGGTGACCTCTGATTCCTCATTACGAACTCGCAGTTCCTCTAGACCAGAGTGCTCTCCTTGATTTACAGATTCTCCAATATCCAAAAATGGATTCTTAATAACATCTTCCTCACACATGTTGACCGAATCAAAATACTGGATTATGTCTGCGTTGAATTGCAGCCAAAAAGCTACTATCTCCAAACCCTCTTGCAGACCCGAAGGTAGATTATTAAACAGGAGTTCTGATACGGTAGAATTGTTGTCATGGCGACTAGACCGGAATGTCAGTAATCTTGGTGAACTGTTACCGAAATGGGAATTATCAAAAAGAAATAGTAAAGGATTTGTCGATAAAAAAAGAATCACCGCTTGGATGACAACCATAAACATTGTTATGATTGTACTGGCTCAATTATCTATAGCTTTGAATATTTCAGCTAAAACAGGTTTAAAGGTTTTTGACAACGCAGCGTAAAATATTCGTACATCAGTTTAATCAAAACTACAATTATTATTTTATTTTATCTTTTTAGAAAATGAGAGAGGTCAAGCTGATAATCGTAATCACGAAACTATCCCCGTTTATCAAAACCCAAATCTTCTTTTTACTCTCGAGCCGCACAATCGTTTTTATGTTTTTGTACTATCGATCAGAATCGTCTTTTACCGTCGAGCAGAGAGGCCGACCTTTACTGAAACTCTGAGATATTTTTTTTTCTATCACTGTTAATTAAACACAGCAGTAATCTTCGTTTAGTTCAACAACCATATTCCTCCAAGTTCACCACCAATTTTGTTTGTTATGTTTCTTGTCACAGTCGTGTTCCAGTGTGTAACATGAATGTTTTCTACACACACAAACGTGTCGTACTTTTAACACAAACGTCTTTTACACAGTCGTGTTCTAGTTTTTAACACAATCTTCAACTCAGTAGTTTTTGGGTTGCCTCATCATTATTGTAATCTACGCCCTCATCGTCTTGTACTTTAACTTGGTCCAAATGACTCCAAGGAAACTTGATAATATAATGACGTGATAGGTAGCATGACGTCATACAATAATTCTGACAGTGACGATTTTGGAGCACTCGGCAAACCTCGGCAGATTCCGTTACTCTACATCTAACCTCGACTGTATGATGGTAAGTGATATGTACCTACGCCTATACAATTGCGTTTTTAAAAAGAAGTTATCATAATTGCGTTGTTCGAAGCGATTTTTCAGTGCAAATTTGTCTTTGTTTGAAGAAAATCGGATAAACTTGAAAGAAAAATAGCTTCAGACTTTGAAATATATATTTGTATGATAAAACATTCTTTAAAGGCGTCGTCATGGGCAACGCCGTCGGTAATCCGTGAACTTGAAAGTAGTTCCAATGACAGACTTAGTCATACAGGCGAGGCTTGCCGAATGGATTTTGGAGAACGCTAGATCGGAGACGGTCCTGCACATTTGACGTCATATGTGGATTGTGCGTTAGGGTAAGGGGTTGGGACCTGCAAATTTCGTCAAAGTCTCGAGATGTAAACAGGGCTAGTGCTAACCCTAACCATGGACCAAGCCCAACCCCTTACCCTAACCCTAACGCACAATCCGCATATGACGTCATGTGTGCAGGACCGTCTTCGATCTAGCGTTCTCTTAACTAGAATGGATTGTATACGGACGAAAAGGATTAAACAAAAAAAAATAAGTCGACCGTGAATTAATGCTTCCGTCACATTTATAAGTTTATAAATCAAACATATAGACATTTTTTCTTCCAAACCACTTCAAGGATTTTTCTAAATATGACAGCATAGTGGTTGGGGATCAGATAATACAGCAAACATTGATTTACCGATGGGAACTGATCCCGCCCAAATTATGGCAAATGCACATTATGAATTCGATTTTCAAGACCATTAAAGAAAACAGATTACAAAGTAGCTAAAAGTCTAAACAATACCTTCCGATACATGATGACATAGCACCTATCAATGATAACGGAAATTTCAACAAATATAAAAGTGAAATATATCCTTCTGAACTAATATTAAATAACGAAAATTCCAGCACTGTAAATGCAACTGTTCTTGACCTGGACATCAATATAATTAATAATAAATTTAATGCCGGTATTTTCGACAAAACGGACAAATTTGGTTTTGAAGTAGTAAAATCTATAGTAACACACCAGATACCACGCTATATAGTGTTTTCTATTCACAGGCATTACGATTTTTGACAATATGTAACAATAAAGAACTATTTCTTTCTCGAATAAAATCTCTTTACTTTAAATGCACTGCCAAAGGCGGCACACAATTACACATTTTAAAAGAAATTTCAAAACTTCCATTTCTTCAACATACCAAGTTTTACATTTCTTATAAGTATATAACCGACTATACATATTGGATAATGATCCAAGTAAAATTTTATCTTGATTTTCTGTAGTTACCTAACCCTGTCTGAGTTATCCCCCTTATTGTTATGCCTTTATAAATACACTTACATAGTACGATTTCTTCAGCATACCTGTTTTGCACTTCTTGTGTGGGATATTAATTTAATATATCATAAATTTTACGGAATTACATAGGCCTAACTAAATAATTCCGATTGGTCGCTAAAACTTATGGTTTATTAAGCTTTTAATGTTATTTTATCTGGATTATCGCCCTTTTTATTGTGATTTTTTTATCGCCTTCTAAGTTATGACATCGTTCCTAGAATAACGTCACTTAGTCAGCAGACGGCTGTCTTTCGGGACAGTCTCCATTTCCTATTCGCTTCTTTGTTTTCAGTTTTGTTTTTGTGACGGATGGAACATGTACCTATATCATGTATTCAATATACCTAGATTCCATTGAATAGGCCTACCTAAACGTTTCTTGACTGATTTATATTTAGACTACTTTGTACATTTCACCGATGTGGTTACTTGTATAGTTGAAGTTTACTACATATGCTTGCATTCGTATTTCTTGTGGCATATAGCAGATCATGAATCATGCTGGCATTAGACAATGGTTTCTTTGGGTTGCATTCCTTATTGTTTCCAAATTTGAGGGAAGTCTGTGTCACTACAGACCCAGGACTGTACAGCACAGTGGATGCTTACGGCTAGCCCCCAGATCCATTCACTTTTTTTTGGGTTGTTTGTCTGTTTGTGTTTTTCTGAGTATGAATTCTTGTCCGTGTATTTGTTTTGGTCTAAATTTTGTGTGGTGCAGTCCCCCTGCACTTACTATTAGTACTAGTAGGCCTAATTTCTTTAATTTGTGTATTAATAAAATGAAATGGGGTTTAACGTCCTACTGTTCTGCTCCAAACTGGGCTAATGAAGACGGCATACGCCATACAGTGTGCTATGAGGGAAATTTTGCCCGGACAGCGACACTAGGGCCTACTCTTATATTGAATTCTAACTGTCAAGGAATCTTTTACGTGCACGCCAATGTGTACACGGGACCTCGGTTTTTCGTCACATCCAAATGACGACGAATTCTGGGGGGGGGGGGGGGAAGACGCTGACTCGCTAGCCTGGAGTTCGATCCCTGCATTGGACCGAGAAAGTCCGTCCAGATTTTCCGGTGTGTTTCCCCCTTGTCAGTGATGCAGGACGGAGGGCCTGACAAGGACAGCTGTCTAGTCGTTCGGATGGGACAAGAAACCGAGGTTTCGTGTAGCCTTACACATATTGGCGTGCATGTAAAAGTTGGAATTCGATATAAGAGTAGGCCTTAGTGTCTGGGCAAAATTGACCTCATAGCATTCTGTATAGCGTTTGCTGAATTTATTTCCACAGATGTTAGCGGCGGCCTTGAACTGCACACGTAGGCCGCTTCTAGGGAAGAAATCAATATTGATTTTATTTTTATATATTTATTTTTAGCAGAAGCACTAAATTTGTTGAGATTTATATCACAATTACAAGTATTATAGAGATACAAATATACTACACACAAACATAAGCCCCGTTTACACTTGGCCGTGATAAGCGTGCCGGAGAACGGCACCAGGCCACGATAAATTTCAAGTAATTGACCCGTTTACATAACTCTAAAATAACCTGTCTCAGAACCGTGTCAGGTACATGTGCACAAAATGTGGAACTCTTCACAGAAAAATGAATTTCAGTCCCTTTGCAAATTACCAGGATGAAAACAATTATAGTGGTATTCAGTACGGCACGCTTATGTTGACCCATTTACACTACAAAAACATCAACCGTGCCGTGCCCACCTGGCCCGCCTAAAATTTGTAATGTAAACGGGGTTATAGACCCTCTTTCTTAAGACACCTAACATCCCCCCTGAACATGATATGGGTTATATTTTGCCAAATATACCGGACATGTCCTACACAAGTGGGCAAACGTCCTATCGGGAATATGCCCACTCGGACATCAAGACACTTTATACAAACAATTGACAATAAATCAATCTATAGTAAATGAGTGATGTATTATGAATGATCGATTAAATGATGTAAATTTCAAAACAAAATGTGATAAATAATACAAAAAGCACCTGGAAAAATAGCACAACCACATTATTTTTATCAGCTGCCTAGGTGCCAAACATTGTTCCCATTCAGCATTGTTACCATTTTCAGAAAAATATTCTGCATAGAATTTCAGATCCATGTCTGGCCTGATGAATGATGAAAATACAATATAAGAGCCTCATTAACATTTCAGGGAGAGGCGTTTTACATCCACTAAGAATGTTCTCAAATCTCATTCAGATATCCTGAATAAAAGTATTGTTCAAAAAAAAAAAACATTAACCTTTCATAAGGCTATACCATCATTTTTTAAATGTGCATGGATGACCTATGAGTCTCCCCAGGAAGAAACACAATTTTACCAGTGGTACAGAAATGAAATGAGATGGAGTTGTGGTAATGAAAGCTATTTTCAATTTATAAACTTATGATTATGCAAAGTATGAAAACATAATAATCTTTAAAACTGGCGATTACTGTGGAATAAGCGGGTAAGATATACAGCATTACTATATAAGGCCGAAACGATTCACCAGTGAACCACGATTTTTTCCATAAAAACGATGAACGATACTTTTTATAAAAAAATTGATAATCAATGTCAAACATTAGGTGAATTTTTGGTGAAAGGTAATTATAGCTTTTGGTCAATATTAATTTTACAGTTTGGTAATCAATCATAATGACTGGCATTCATCATTGCTGTCATTTTTACTTTTCTAGTTGTCCTATGTCTGAAATGGGCGTGTCGGTACCACTTTTTTTCACAGGTATTGCAGACCGTTTGGGGTCATTTGTCCCCACGGCACCAGTTTCCAGAACATCCTCCGAACACTCAACACAAATTTTTTCAGATACATTTGCAGATTCGTTTAGACGTTTGTTTTTATTTTTGTTGAGTTTTGATTTCGGTTTTTCAACTTCTATTTCACAATTATCACCTTCGCTGTCTTCACTGGCACCATTTTCAACCCCATTTTGAACTGGAGATGATTTTACTTTGAATTCTTTTTGCTGGTCTTGTTTCGGGTGTTTCTTAGCTCGTACATCCTTTTGGGGAGATTTTGAACTTGGTGCATCTCCCCCACCGCCAGAATATTGTATAGCAGGATTAGATTGATGGTCTAGAACATTTTGTAACATTTTTTGGACCTGCTTCATCTGCTCTTCCATCTTGATTCTATATCTGTCATCTAGAGCCTGAATCTAAAATAAAAATAACGATATTAAAGACTTGGGATGAGTTATTGGAGAGAGAGATAGAGAGAGAGAGAGAGAGAGAGAGAGTTTAAGTTCACTCGACACAAACTAGGTCATTTCAGGACTAACATATAGTGCAATTTTATTTCAATAATTCGCTTGCGTAGGGGTCTTTAGCAGTGGGAGGAAACCGCAGGACCTGGAGAAAATCCACGATGTTGAACAGGGGACCCTACTCCTTGTCACGTACAACCGAGGAATCGAAAGCACGCCAGTTGACCGACCTTATGATACAGCGCGCACATGCTAACCATTCGGCCATCCAATTCCCCATGAGTTATTGGAAAGTTTCGGAAAATGTTCAACATTAAATTATGAAAATAAAATCAACAGTAGAATGTGGTGGCTGAGCAACCTGTGACATACTGAAACGTGCGAATATCGAGAGAGAAATGTTCGGATTATGAGTTCTCGGTTTGACCATCGATAATTGGTCAAAAAGTGGCATACTCTGCTCTTTTGCCGATACTGGAAGCACCCATATCGCCACATCATAAAATTGTTTTGTTACCTCTATATTACGGTCTCTTCGTCCTGGTTCAATGGTTAACATACCAAACGGCATACCAACTCGATATCCAAAACCCATAAACAAAACCAAGAAACCGAAGATAGTCATGATGACCAAGACTATCGGCCATAGTTGTATAGGTAGATCTTTCAATAATGTTCTAGTAAAATCACTCAAGCCCTCAGCGATATGACGTAAAGGTGTTACAAAGAACCGTACTGCTGTTACAGCTAAAGCCTGAAAAGAATAAAAATCGAAACGGTTTGATTCGGTCTGAAGTGTTTCTCACATGTTGATCCAACAGAATGGAATGAATTACCAATGGATGTTAAAGGCTCAATACCACTCTTGTTGTAACTGAATAATATGTCCCAATCTTTATTCTAGTCAACAAATTGTACTATTTTACAATATTCCAATTAATTGATGATACAAATTTCATCTTAACACACCTAATTTAAAAAATTGGAAAAATTCAACTAAATGATTTGAAAAGCCTAACGTAAACCTTTTCAAATGTGACTTGGATTTAAAAATATTTTCTAACCCTCTGGACAAGTAAAATAGGATGTAATGGATAATTTACACAACAGGTAGGACACATAAACATCTAATACTTAGAATGTCCCTTTAAGAACTCAATTTCTTTAGAAGTATTTAGTTATAGACTCAAAGTGACTCACTTTTTGGACTGCGCTTTGAGCATGCTTAGTCATGGAAACAGCGCATTATGTATATATAGAGAGAGAAATGGGGTTTAACGTCCACTCGATGCAAACTAGGTCATTTTGGGACTAACATATGGTTTAATTTTATTTCAATAATTCGCTTGCGCGTAGGGGTCTTTAGCAGTGGGATGAAACCAGAGGACCCGGAGAAAACACCTGGACAGGCGACCCCACTCCTTGTCACGTACAACCGGGAATCCAAAACCACGCCAGTTGACTCAATGACAGGCCTTATGATACAGCACGCACATGCTAACCACTCGTCCATTCCCCCCCACCATAGTCATAGCACACGGTATGGAATATACCTGTAGTCATTAGCCAAGGAGCCATGGTGACTCAGTCGGTACGTTGTTGGCTCGTTAACCAGGAGGTCTCGTCTTCAATCCCTGCATTGGCAGAGAAAGTTCCATTAGGATTTTCTGCCGTGGTTTCCTCATGTCAGTGGTGTAGGATGGCGAGTCTGGTTTCGGATGAGACGAAATAAAAGTAGGCCATAGCGCTGCTGTCCAGGCAAAATTTTCCTCATAGCACACTGCATGGTGCATATCCATCTTCATTAGTCCAGTAGGAGCAGGTTAGTAGGACGTTAAACCCCATTTCATTTCAGACACACAGAGATCGAGCCTGGGACCTCCTAGTTACTCCGCCAGCGCCTTACTCACCAAGTCACTCCTTTTTTGAGAGAGCGAGAAAAATTGGGTTAAACGTCTACACAACTACCCTAGTGCTTGTCAAGTACAACCGGGGAATTGAAACCGTGCCAGTTGACTCAATGACTGGCCTTGTGATACAACATGCACAGACTAACCATTTGGCCCTCCAACTCACCCTCCTTTTTTGAGGACCACATGTAAGATTAGTTTTCCTCTTGATATAAGGTTTTCATTTTGTTTATCATACTGACCTCGATTGGGGAAACTTTTACGATGGGATCAATCAGAAGCTGTTCGTAGTAATCTATACATTCATCTTTCTGAAACGTGACTTGTGACACCATCCATGACCAGGTCACTGATAAAAAACCTGACTCCTTATCTTCACGACTTTTACAGTGTTCTGGCATTTCTTTACTCACTGCATAATGTTGTTTTGATACTTCTCTCTAAAAAAAATAAAATAAACCAGATCAAATGACATTGTAAGTAGCCATGTTTCTGCAACATTTGAAACCAATCCATCAATCTATTACTGAAATGTTTTAAAGGGGAAATTCCAGATATCACTGGAGGCGTGCTAAATAAAAATGAAATGAAATGAAATGGGGTTAAACCAGGCCTGAAAATAACGGTTTTAGATGTACCTGACAAAATGAAATATTACCTGACATTTTCAACTTAGTGCCAGACATGTATTAATTATATCAATAAAAAAGACAAAATGACAGGCCCCAGAGGTTTAGTGCCTGACAAAGCCTGCATCTGTGCCTGATATTGTCAGTGACAGGTGCCTTATTTTCAGGCTTGGGTTTAACATACTACTTTGCTGCTTCGACTGGGCTAATGAAGATAGGAATACGCCTTAGAGTGTGCTTTGAGGGAAATTTTGCCTGGGCCACAGCACCATATCCTAATATTATATCGAATTCCAACTGCCAAGGGATCGTTGTCACAAAGTGACCTCAGGTTCTTTAACTTAATTGCCCCTTTTCCCAATTTTCCCAACAAACAACACAACTAATTAATTTATTTTCACTATGTATAGTGTTATATTCAATATACATATACAATTTTATAGGGTTTTACAAAAATACAATGCTTTCAAGTTACAGTTCATTTCGTCATCTAACACACCGTCGCTTTAATTTGATCAATCCACCTGGAAAGTATTCAGATTAATTCTCTGTCCGAAATCCACCATCCAAATAGCGTAGTTTTTTAAAAACTATTTCAACCCTTGAAGATTCACAAAACCCTCACATGTCACAGATCCACATAATTTCCCGGATTCACCTAGACTCACTAGCTGTATTAAAATTCACCAAGACTTAAACATACTTCACCAAGACTACATAGGCGTACAGTGTATGATTCACAAAGTTCACCAAGATTAAACTACTAATATGATTCACAAGGTTACCAATGGATTGAAATATCGGTCACCTAGCTAGACATTACCAGTTAAATGTTATTTCATCAAGGAACGGATTCATCACATTTAAATACATCGTATATATTTACCAGCTTTTAATCATCTAAAGCCAGTCATTGGTGTTACTGTATAGATATTGAAGATAGGTTGCCAGGCAACGAAACATACGCCCACAGCAGCTACAAATCGTCCGGGCAAGTCAACAAGTGTTGTCGCATATTTTTACTTTTTTCGGTAATGAAACATTTATAATAAACTAAAATCTGATTAAGAGTAACTCATGAAGTAATTATCAGAAAACCATTAGAATTTGTTCAGTTTTTATAAAGTTCTGCCCCATGCTAACGTTTAGTATACAAAACTTTTAATATCATGGATTTAGCTGTTCAAGTCATAAAAATTCATTGAAAATCAATATACTTGTTCGTCTAAAGATCTTAAACTCTGTGTATCAATCTGAAGTCACAAGATTTTTCAAAGTGATCAAGGACCATAACTTTGGCATTAATTATCAGAAATTAATAGGATTCTTCGTCTCATGATCTCAAACACTGTGTATATACTCTGTGTATCAATCTGAAGTCAATCGAATATTAACTTTAGCCTGTAGAGCATCCACAAGATTTTCTGAAGTGATCAAGGGCCATAACTCTGGCAGTAATTATCTAAAATCACTGAAAATGAAAAGACTTCTTCGTCTCATGACCTTAAACACTGTGTATAAATGTAATTGAATCGGATAATAACTTTAGCCTCTAGAGCGTCCACAAGATTTTTCAAAGTGATCAACGGCCATAACTCTGGCATAACTTGAAAAGCAAAATAGAAACTACCACCGAATAATTTTGCGTATATGTATTGTTTAATGGTTGATAGCGAGACATTAAGTAATATATTGTAACAACAAGAGCGCCATGAGGCCTGAGTGTTTTTACAATATATTACGCAATGTCTTAAGCTCGAGACCATTAAACAACTTTAAATACAGACACTTGCACATGCTTTGCAATGAAATACGTCACTCAGGTTCAATATTTTAACTAGTTACATTTGGCACATTGCCCGTACGATTATTTGAAATAATGGTACGCCAACATCAAAGGATGACGTCACATCTGTATTTTAGATATTGAGAATCATCAACATCACATCATGTTGAGACTTTTGGGACTTATCACAAATATACAAGAAAAAAGTATTCTGGTTCTCAGATAATCCACAGCAAGTATCTAAAGGAGAGAGGGAGAGAAATGGGGTTTAACGTCCACTCGACACAAACTAGGTCATTTCAGGACTAACATATGGTTTAATTACATTTACATAATTTGCTTGCGCGTAGGGGTCTTTAGCAGTGGGAGGAAACCGGAGGACTCGGAGGAAACCTAAAGGAGAGAGGGAGAGAAATGGGGTTTAACGTCCACTCGACACAAACTAGGTCATTTCAGGACTAACATATGGTTTAATTACATTTACATAATTTGCTTGCGCGTAGGGGTCTTTAGCAGTGGGAGGAAACCGGAGGACTCGGAGGAAACCTACGAGGTTGGACAGGTGACCCTACTCCTTGTCATGTACGACCGGGGAATCGAAACAACGCCAGTTGACTCAATGACAGACATAATGATACAACGCTCACACGCTAACAATTGGGCATTCCAATTAAAAATCGAGACCTCTAGAGGATCCATAGCTTTGGTATTACGTACCCATACACCATTTGTGTACAGGGAATAGCCATTTTGTCTAGCAGTATCAATCCGATTTTCAAAAAGTTAATGGTTTAACAGTGGTATATTTAAATTGTGACCTCTAGTGGGTCCACACGCTAAAAACGTGATTTTTCATACAATCAACATTCATAATCCAGGAAGTTCCGGTCCGATATGCGCCGATATCTAGAGAAACTTAGATATTTGGGTTATAAATCGGGCAAACCTGTGACCTCTAGGGTGTCCACAAGCTAAAAACTTGATTTTCATACAACCAGGGGTGATAATTCATTAAATTACGGTCCGATACCTGCCAATATCAAAAGGAATCGAGATCTTTGGGATATAAACAAAATGTGAACGGACAGACAGGGGGAACGGCAAATGTGGGCGTATAAAAATAGGTAATGTAGCCCTTTTGAAGTGATGGTTATCTACGAGCCAGAATAGTTGTTTAAATGGCCTAACTAACCTTGTATAAGCTGTACCATGTGAGACAGACACTGACAATAAACACCAATATAAACAAATAATACATGAGTTGATATTTGTTAAATTTCAGATGAACCATTATCGTTGCTATGACTACAATCAGACCTATAATCAACAATACCTGAAACATACAGAAAACAACCATTGTTAGAGTATTGATGGAAAATAGAATCTTCATTAGGCCAAAAAAAAAAAAAATGTTCTATTTCGGTAACCAGATCGACCCATTACAAAAACCTGCCGACTCAAGAGAAATAAAAAACTTTTTGTATGCGACCGTTTAGAATACTCTAAGCCTACCGGATTTGTGAAAATGCCTATATTATTTGTTGCTATAAATGAATATAAATGTCTTCGTTCTTTGAATCTACATTTACCGATCAGAGTCGGCAGGTACTGTATAGTGAACGATTATTAAGAACTGACATACCATTGACTCGCGATTTCTAACTGACAAGAAAACCGAGACTAGAGGTTTCGTATAGATTTACCACTGCACATTCTGAAAAGCTATAATCCTCACAACCTTTGTTCTAATAAGTGAACATATATTTCAAACCGGTGGATAGGATCTGTTCGATTGGTATTTAAAACAAAACAAATAAATTTATTACGGACCTATTACGTGCGACGGCACGATATGATTTTTTTAAGCTTTCATCGGGAGTTCTTTCCCTTGAACAAAATGGTCTCCCTACACTATTTTTTTTAGCATAGAACGATTAAAATATCCATTTGCCCCTTAAGAGAATATTTAAATCATAATCTAGCGTCTGATACATTGTTAAACAATTATCCAAGAATTCCATCCACCAATCTATTCAAGCTTTGTGCTCCCAGGCGTCGACACAACCTAACATAAAATTGAAATTTTTCGCACAGAATATTAGGCTATGGTAGATCTACTAGATCTAACAATGTAACATTAAAAAAAAAACCTACCTACCGACCCTTTCCATCCGCTACAGGAAACAGAGCCCTCTTTTTGGCCTTAAAAGGCTATAATTCGATAAAAACAACAGAATTAATGGAATCCCATGAAATACAAACTCGATCTGTGACTCTTCTGGATCCATTCCCCCCCACGGCGTTCATGTAAAAGAATCCTTAATAGGAACTTGAGGAAGTATAGGCGTAGACACCATTCTCCAGGCAAAATTTCTCTCATAGCACAAAGAATGATAGAATGGATAAGTTGAAATGCTGCCAATAATACAGTCACTTCTCCACACGAACTGGACTGAAGACGACGATCATACAGTCACTTCTCCACACGAACTGGACTGAAGACAACGATCAAACACCATGCAGTGTGCTATGAGGAAAATTTTACCTGGCTAGCTACCTACATGTAAAAGCTTTTCAATGGAAATTCCCAGTCTATCCTCAATCCATAAATGTCGACTGGTTTTTCCACCAATAGGAACTTCTTTAATTGTTTGTATCATCCGAGTAAGAATTTCATGTGCCGTGTTCAGGTCCATCTCCGTTTGACTGTCACTGTAACGCTGTAATTTATTCAAGTCGGCATTATCTAAGATCAGACGCAGATCAAATTCAACAGCGCCCCCTTCATACACCTGGATGAAAAGAAATAAACAAGGAAATATATCATATACATTGAGACAAGATATATAAATGAAATGAAATGGGGTTTTAAGTCCTACTGGGCTAATGAAGATGGGCATACGACAGGGAAATTTTGCCTGGGCAGAGGCGCTACGGATACGGATTACTCTTACATGTATATCGAATTCCAACTGTCAAGGGATCTTTTACATGCACGCCAATGTGTACACAGGACCTCGTTTTTTTTTTTGTCCCATCTTGTCAGGTCTCCGTCCTACATCAATGACAAGAGGGAACCACGCCGGAAAATCTGGATGAAATTTCTCGGCCAATGCAGGGATCGAACACTTGACCTCCAGCGTCTTACCCACTTAGCCACCGTGATCCCCCTATTTATTTTGTATAGCCTTACCTTTCCTTTTAGATGATATAACAAAGTATTAACATATTGACGAAATAAAAGAGAGGCTGTAGATACTCGGATAGGACATTTAGTGATGTCCATCTTTTGTCGGGGGGTGGCATCTTTATTTAGAGTTTCAACCGGAATTCTTATCATCTTTTCCTGGGGTGGATTGTTGGACATGCTATCTTTATTAAGTGTTTCCACTGGACTGTTTATATTCTTTCCTGGAGGTGGATTGTCCGGCTTCTCTGGATTATTTGGATCTGTATCTACAGTGACTTTCTTTGACTTCTATAAAAAAAATATAATTTTAAAAGTAATATTTGAAGGAAGATAATTTTGTTTCATGTAATTAAAGGAGTTAAATTGCTAATATTTGGGACCTAGAAATTGACACAAATGGGTCGTAACGCATATAATAATGTAATCTGATTGTATATAAACTGATTTACATTCAATGGTTTCTGTTTTTACTCTAATTTCAAATCAGTTATGTTCAGCTAAATACGCCACAGGTCTCAATGAAAAGGCAATCTCTAGCACCTGGCCCCGAGTTCACAAAGCATTCTCAGAATTAAGTTGAGAATTTGCTCAACATTCAATCACGGTTTATGAGAAATATCTTTGATCCAGAAACACAAAACTTTGCAAATAGTTTCTTACTGATATATCTGATACATTAAAACAACAAAATTATTATAAAGTTCTATATTTTAGTTAAAATAAGGCGAACAAGTTTGAGTAAATTCTCAACTTAAGTCTGAGATTGCTTTGTGAACACAGGGTCTGGTTATTCCAGTCTACACCGATAGTATTTATTGCGTGTGCTCTCCAGATAAGAATATTGCGTCACCGTTTGACATGCCTTGTGGGATATGTCTAGACTTGTTCTTCGAGTCCCTTGTTACAAATGGTACTGACATGCATTATGGTACACGATTCGTGTACCAATGGTAAAATGTTTATTTTGTCTTAAATATTGGATATCAGAGACTTACATGTAGCTACATGTACTTCAAGACTTATGGTTCAACATACATTATATAAGAGCTAAATCTGTCTATTGCAGGTCTTTCTTTGGGCCTTAAATGTTATATAAACTATCAATTAGACATTTATTAACAAAACAAGACCATAATCAACTCGCGATGGTATCGGATACTCATGATTTTAACTAGATTATAGCAGTTTGCCATTTAAAAATTTAATTTAAAAAATGGGAAAGCTAAGTCTCGAATATACAAGTGCCCTGGTTACCACAATGCACCCGTCTTGTCAAAACTACAAACAGTGATAACTTGGCTCAGAATGAAGTAACTTGAATGAAATTTTTAATATTTTCATTTTGCATTATCTATTATTGAGCTATTATCGCAAGAATGATCAGCTCTTTATCTAAATCTTACATAATGTATCTTTAATCATGAGTATTTCAATATAAATTTGGGTAATTTCCAGAATGTCTGCAATAACCTTGAAGTAGAATTAGACCACATTTCAGGCATTGAATACATACAGGGATCCACAGTGTGATAGGTGAGCGGGGCACAGTGGGAAGGATTTCTTTTTTTTTTGTGAATTGACCAGAAGTGAAATTCTATAAAGAATCAAACTACAGTGTATGTACTCGGGTTAAGGCAGTCATTTGTTCTATTTAACAGTGATGTTAATGCAGGAGTTAAAAAATTCATTTTGGGAGTTCGAACAACATGGTGGATGACACATTACTTATATTTTTCCAAAACCTATACCGCTCCAGGAGAAAAAACATCGGGAGAAAGACTGTCATGAATCAAAAAAAACAAAAAACAAATAAAGCCAAGAGACTTTAATAATCAAACCTTATTCATCTTCATGGTGCTAGGATCAAAGTTGATCATATCGAACGGATCTAATTCACCATCATAAGATGTAACCATAGTAACAGCCAAACATAAGGTGACTGCTAAAATGACAAGCTGAAACTCTTTAGCCATTTTTACTGTTTGATAAAATATGTGTTCACCAGAGTTCTTCGGTCACCGAGATCTGAATATAAGAAAACAGGTTATACATCTGTTTATGACTTTCATACAAATATTTCAATTACTACAGACATGTTAAAAAAACGTGTCTATCACATACAATGTAGTTTATTTCAAAGACAGATGTGACAGGACAGTACTATCAGTACCTTGTATATATTAATACCCCAGAGAGAGAGAGAGAGAGAGAGAGAGAGACAGAGACAGAGAGATTAATTACCACTCAACACAAACTATGTTATTTTGGGACTAATTGGTTTAATCATAAGGTCTGTCATTGAGTCAACTGGCCGGGTGTCGATTCCCCGGTTGTACGTGACAAGGTGTAGGGCCGCCTGTCCAGCCTTGTGGGCTTTCTCTGGGTCCTCTGGTTTCCTCCCACTGCTAAAAACCCCTACGCACAAGCGAATTATTGAAATAAAACCGAACCATATGTTAGTCCTGAAATGACCTAGTTTGTGTCGAGTGGACGTTAAACCCCAATTCTCTCTCTCTCTTCAATCTTTCGCTGTCATAGGGTCTTTGTAGCGATGCTAAACGCCGCTACTAGGAGCGCTGGCTGTACTATTTACAGACATCACAAAAAGTTGGCCGAGAAAAGTATACACCGTGTTACGCCTTCTCATGAATATTCAGAGTGTCAAACATTGACCACGTGATGTTTACCATCGGGAAAAATAGATGAACTTGCTGTCGAGTAGGATTTTGTGAAGATGAGGTAAGATTTTCAGATATTTTTCATGAATTGAAAATTTGAAGTTGAGAGAAAGTATCGAAAAAGGCCCTCGACGCTCAAGATTTTGGTATACATGTATCTGGAAAGCCCAATTCATTAACTACTTAGTTTGACCGTTTGTTAAGTCCGTATCCCCCGTAGGAATTCGTAAAATGGCTGAAATGGAACCATGTGGAATTAAAGGGAGGTAACTCGTGGTTGATCAGGGGTCAGACCATAATTGAAAATCCCACAGACTTCAGTGTAAAAAAAATGATGTTAGATTTGGACAGGTTTTTTTGTATTATATTGAATGTTACTAAAGCTACATGTAGCTACCAAACTTTAGCCAGCCATTTCACTAACAACAAAGGATAAAAATTGTGAATGTTGTTGACCACTTTGGATTTTTTTTCAGGAACTGCAGCTGAAGAAGTAAGCTACTGCTTATAATATATACTCATCCAGATCCAAACATAGCCAAAGGCGATCCCTGATATTATTTGGTACAACATAAAATATACAAATGATGATGCTATATATAGGCCTACTCAAACAATTTGCATTAGGACTATAAAAAGGTGGCCTGGTGCGTCAAATGTTTTTGTTTATTTTGAAAAATAACGCATATGAATAATGTGATTATTTTATATTGTTATTATTGTTTGTTTTTGTAAGAAGATACATGTATTAGAAATCTTATATTTGTTGATAAATGTGATAATGGTTTCTTTTTTTTATCATTTTTATTTTAAACCGGTGGGTGAACAATTTTTAATTTCATATTGAAAAGTAACATATAAATAATGTATCATAATGTGAATTTTTATATTGTTTTTATTTTCATGGGATAATGTCTCAACTAGAAAGCTCGACTTGTAATGCACATGTATCACAAATTAATTTTTTTAATACTCTTTCATGTAGATCATATCTTACTTTTTATAAGCTTACCTTTTAATTTGTTATTTAGCACAGTACATTATGTTTTTATCATTTTGCATATTTATCAGACTATTGAAGTGATCATGATACTCATTGTTTAGGATTATTTGGACTCTATTAATTATGTCTATGTTACTGTTTTTAAAAATATAGCTGTTATATAAATCATAGTTTAATTGTTAATTTTCATTCCTGAAACCAACAATCTCAAATTGATGTACATTGTACATGGCAGCTTATAAACAACTAAAGCAGTTGGTGTGGCAAAGGCGGCAAATCTGCCAAAAGCTTACAGGTTTATTTCTCATTTTGCCACACACTTTCAATAATTTTTAAAAATATCCACAGTATAAGTTAGTATAACCGGTTTATAATTGTTTCATGACTGTGACTGGCCAGTGGTCAATGGCCTCGGGACCAGTAGGTGCCCAATTACATACGTAAACTTCAAACGGTCAAAAATTGTGATTTAAGGTGTTGTCATGCAAAAAATAAATAATAGAACAGACTGAAAACACTTTTATGTATGCTTATTCATTCAAAAATAAGCCTCTGTATTAATGTCAAAGTGCTACAATTTAAGTACACACAAATTTGTCCATTTTTTTGCTGTAATTTGTGCGAAATGGGCATGGATCCCAACTTTGAACCTCTGTAACATAAAAAGTATATACATGTACTAGAATATTATAGCAACAATTTGGCTTTATCAAGTACATCTAGATCTTTACTTAGTGCAATTTTCATAGACCTATCTTGTATAGTTACTGAGATATTGGCTTCGGTCAGTTTTTTGCGTTTTTTTAAAAAAGCTGTTTTTTAGTGCCTCTGGTTTGCCTTCTTTAAAACACTATAACTTTTTTAATTTTCAATATTTTTTCAAAATTTTTTCAGATTATTCATTCTAGATAGTTAACAATTACAGCATTATTGTCATTTGTGAGTCATTGGTTGTATCTGAAAAAACGTAGGCAATGCTAGTCTTTGGAGGTGTGGGGGTCAGGTACCCTGGAAAAACCAACAACGGACCGCGGCACTACGGCCTACTCTTATAACGAATTTCAACTGTCAAGGGATCTTTTACGTGCACGCCAATGTGTACACGGTACCTACTACGAAAGGAAGACCATCTATAATTACGTCCGTAATTTGATGGCACTACCTTTTCTACCCGCCGACCACATGCTAGCCGCCTTCGACAAGTTGTGCCTGATGGCAAACACGGACCCTTTATGGGAACTCGTTTCGTATATCCGACAAACCTGGTTCGAGTCCTCCATCTATTCTCTAAATAATATCAGCCGTAAATAGATAATTTAATGAAATCAAAGTAATTGATTTATGTATGATTTATGTATGAAATGATTTAATGAAATTTAAGAAATTAAGTAATTGATTTATGTATGAAATGATTTATGTATGAAATGATTTATGTATGAAATGATACAAATAGTATTACTAAAAGTGCTATGACATGTTGTTATTGTTATAAATGTATGAATAAAATATTCAAAATACGTAAAACCTGTTTATTGATTTGTGGGATGAAACGACCCGATATGTGGGATGAAACAGCCCGGGGTCAATTTGGGATGAAACAGCCCGGGGTGAACCGGTCATGGGATGAAACGACCTGCTCCCTATCCGAACGACTACTGTCTGAGTCTTGGTAAATTTTAAACAGATTTCTTCGATTATGAACAAACTACTTAACTTTGGTTATTATAAACTTACATGTGTGTTTGTAATCAACTCCCGTTCGATAAAATCCATTGCACAACTAATTATCACAACGATGAAAACAAGTTCTCTCTTGAAAAATTGAAATATCACAAACTTTTCCCAGAGAAAAATACCAATATGGAAGATGGTTACGTCACTCTGCGGAGGATAGCATTTCGTATTAGGGGTGACAGCATAGGAAATTCAAGTACAATTACGACAAGAATCCATGACCACTCGGACCAAAGACCACCCGGTTCAAGACCAGTCGGACCAACTGATAGACCACTCAGCCCAAACAAATAGACTACTCGGACCATACAAAAAGACTATTCGGACCCAACAGAAAGACGACTCGGACCAATAATATAGTGTTGTTTTAATAAATTGATAATTGCGTTTGTTTTAATAAATTGATAATTGCGTTTGTTTTAATATGATTACTCGAACCAATAATAAAGTGTTATTTTAATAAATAAAAATTGATAATTGTGTTTATTTTTTATGACTACTCGAACCAATAATAACGTGTTGTTTGAATAAATTGATAATTGTATCCCAAATCGCAAAATATCGAGAACCACACTTGTAGTCACGTTTAAAAAGGGGCATATTATAAACGTCCGGTCTTCGTATTATTATGGGCTGTTTATATTAACGCATCAAGGGCGGATAACTTGAAAACGTGTCTCCCCCCCCCCCACCATATATTAACCCAGTGGTTAGTGGGGTAGAACGGAATGAAACCACTGGGGATACCACGAATGTGGAAAAAGTAAAATTAGGCCATCAGATAAGAACAGTATACCCGTATATGTAGAAACTGTCAAAAGTCTGGACATACCGAGTCTCATTGCAAGAGTAAATAAGAAAAATTAGATTGATATTTTTTTTTGTCACCATTATTAATTAATTTTAAAACTAATCGTTGATTTATTTTCCGTACACAAAAGTGAACTAAACAACTCTAAATATAAGAATTCCGTATAAGAATTATTTGCTTCTTTGTATTGTGATTTAATAATAAATAAATAGTATATTGTCTAGCCTTATAATATAATTTAATTGGTCCGACTGGTCTTGTTTTGGTCCGACTGGTCTTAGTCGGAGTAGTCTTTGGTCCGAGTGGTCTGGATACCTACGACAATTGGCATTGAGTTTGAGCGTTCGCACACATAACTACCCGCATTCCTGTATTTTAGTTACCGTCTTTTACATTCTAGTAAAATCTCTGCAAATTTTATAGCTTTACTTTTTGAAATATTTTGTTCTAATTATTTGATTAGCGATTCGGATGGGATATTTTACTTTTGAACACGCATGGCTTTATCATACTTCGGTCAATACTGTCGAATCGAGAATTAATGTTCCGCTTCTTACGTGGTCATACGGGCTTAGTAGCATTATATACCCACCCGGGCACCCAATAGGCACGTTAAGGGCTGTCGCAACACGCTTAAAGATGTTACTGAAGCGGTTATTATTCGATCGAAAGAATGCGTATAAAATTAAATATACACTCAGAGAATTCGGAGGTAAGCTTCATGATCCTTGTTAAATTATTTATAACAGAAAGAAGATAGGATATTTATAGTTTATATATGACTTTATTTTTACGAGTATCCGTGCAATCAGTGATAATTTAATTGTGAAGAAAATTTGATAGACTGGCGATTAATGGTTTCCATATAAATCTCCTATGTAATTGCCTTCAATTGATATTTTTTGTCGCCCAAACCCGATCAAAATGATCGCGCTGTCAAACTATCTTTCAATGTTAACCAACCCCCGCAACAGGTATATTGGATTCAACCAATACGTCACGAAGACATTGTTGACATCGACTCTGTCGAAATTACAAGTAAATTTTCAAATTTTTCAAGAGAGAACTTGTTTTCATCGTTGTGATAATTAGTTGTGCAATGGATTTTATCGAACGGGAGTTCATTAAACAAACAGGTAAGTTTATAATAACCAAAGTTAAGTAGTTTGTTCATAATCGAAGAAATCTGTTTAAAATTTACGATGGTTCTGAAGTGATTTGCCAAATCAAGGACGGTTATATAAGGGCTATTTAGATCTACCATTCGACAACTCCATCAGAACACTATAAAATACTAGTATATAAAATCACCCGGTCTGCTAAATAAGCGACCGTGATATCCATAAAATCCACTGGTCTGCCAGACAGGCGACCATTTCTAATCTGCAGTAAAACACACCCCACTTCAGCTAATCAACCCTCTTATATAGGCCAACAGCACGTGCACCCCAAGATCCATATAGGTAGTCGAGTTTAGGCAACCCATCAATGTGGTTGAGTTTGGGAGAGCCAAACCTACTCTGAACGTTGAAAACCTGTCAAGTTACGAAATCACTACACACCTCCCAGTTTTATTACGCCCCCCCCCCCCTTGTACAGTGGGCTGAATCAAAGTTCTGCCCAGACTAAAAATACACACATTATAAACAGGACAATCCAACCAATCAGAAACATGAATAATTCTTAGAAGACACCAACCTCACTATAACTCTACTGAGCAGGAATAATATAAATGATTTCACCGTAATTCTGCATGGGTGGTCCACCTGGAGAGCTGATACCCCCTTGACATCTCCACATTCGACCCCAGGAACCACCAATTAGCTTTGTAACCACTGCTAAACTTAGTAAATCTCAGTGATCACACACACATCTTCTAATAATCAACAATAAAAACTATCTGCATTCAATTCAAAATGAACTATTCATATTCTATAATAGACCGCATAAACTATTCTTGTTTGAGATTCAACGTTTAATTATCTCTGTCTTGCTAGGTCCCCTTCATTTCTCCGCCATATCTAAAATGGAATTCCCCAGGAAAGCGTTGCAGACTATACTTGGTACTCTTCCCAGATTAAACACTCACGATAATCTTTCAACCACTGCCAACAACTATTAACAACTCTTACAGTTGTTGTTAACTTCTGCTACCACCAATGATTCTTCCTTCACAGCCAACAACGGTGACATCGACAAACCCACCGATGATGATTCTTCGTGTACAGTCAACGACGATGAGATCGTTAAACCCACAACCACCGATGATTTGGACACCAGGCGCTAATTCTTTCTACTACATCGAGTCTCTTTCGACACAGCCAACAACTCTGACATTGCTAACACTAACGATTCTTCCTTCACAGCCAACGACGGTGACATCAATAAACCCATTGATGATTCGGACACCAGACGCTATCAACCTTTACATATCTTTTAAAATGTTTTATCAAATAACCAACATCTCCTCACTGGGCAAAACTACGCCCATAATCTTATTCCCTATTTTAGACCTAGACAAGACAGGTTCGAAACAAGAAATGTTCGGTCTAATAGAATACCGCCTGACAAGTAGATACCCTCTCATTGCATACAATCTAAAGTACCGTCTGACGACAATATTATCGGACTGAATACCATTTGACTGGAACCATCTAACAATTGGATATCATTTGACTGACTACAGTTCACACAGTAGACAGCTGACAGTCCTTGTCAGGCTGATGAAATGGGAACTAAACAAAAATGTTGAAAGCAGAGAGGAAACGTTAGTAAAGATTTAAATACCCTGTTGTTCTTTTTCACGGAAACATGCAATAGGCTAATGTTTTAAGAAAAGACTGACTTCGTGGCTGTAAAAAGAACAAAACAAACCTCTTCTTTCAGTTTCATATTCTACTTTATTTTCCTACTAATCCTAGGGACCGATCACTGTACAGTGTAGAATTTATTTCAAAATGTTTGATGTACAAGGCAGTTTATATCGCTTGAAAAGGGTGTATTTAAAATGTCTGGAAAAGAAAAAAAAAGGTGTAAAATCGGAATTGGTAAATTTCTGAATTATTAAAGGGTACTGCGTTGCCAAAGCTAAGGACCTTACTCAAGTTTTCGTTGGGCAATAATCGGTCCCTAAATATTATTATTACGGACTAGACCATGTCCATGGAATATGTTTCAACTTCAACTTAAATGAGATACTTCATAAAATCCTCTGTTAGATTATAACGAAAATATTTCCAATTAAAACGCATATTTATATAATTTATGAAATAAAAATGATCTTTACATGAATTTGGGTATATTGAATACGCGATCGTATTTGCACAATTGATGATATAAATATCGTAGTCAATCCGTGTATTCCCCGATCGACCCTTTCAATATCCGGGTACTTCACGACCAAAAAGATGGTTACGGAAAACAAGGCTGTGACTGGAAATAATGGGGTAATTTATCTCAACGTTTGTCTATTTTTGTTACTGTACTGACATTTTCAAGTGACTTTTGAAATTACTGGCTCCTGAAATTGTTTAACGCCTGGGGACCTTGGTCAGCCTTCGATTTTATAATACCCCTCAACAAATGACCTCCAAACGACATCGACCGGTTCATCGCCGGCTGATTTGATCCACTGATCCAGTACACGATCTGAACAATCTTAATTAATATAAATCAATTAAAATCATAATCATTAAAATTAACAGCACACATATTTCCCCTTTCGTGTTCTTGGTAACGAATATGGTCATTAATATGAAAATGCCTAGCTTTTCAAATTCTTGTTCAGCACCGGTAGCTTGATTTACCCCAAAATAAAACTAAATCCACCCAAATCGCATTTTGAGGGACATTTTGACACAAAAACCATACCATTGTAAATTAAAATTGACAATTTGGCATAAAAAAAACAAGTATATTATCAATATTGATACAAATTATTGTCTTTTAAGTTGAAATAATGGTGAATTTGGGTAAATTGTGCACAAGAGCATCAGCAAGGCCGATGAGGCCTAAATTGCTCACGATTTACCCAAATCCACCTTTATTTCAATGTCTCACAATAATTATATTGATATTTCATAATATACCATTCATTATGCGAAATTGTCATATTTAATTTAAAATTGTATGGGTTTTGTGTCAAAATGCCCTACAAAATGTGACTTCCAAAGCTCCAGTCCAAGCAAGTTTAGATTTCATGAAGGTACAATATTAATTTAACAAGTTCTCATAGATGCATTGTAGTGATTGTACATGTCATAAATTCATATAATTTTTCTCATGTTTTTCAGGAGCCAGAAGAGGAAGAAGAAGAATTAGTGGTTAGTATTTTTAGACACAATCATTGGTGGTCAATGGTCATATTGACCGATTTGGCAAATGCATCACATTACACCTCATGGAGGATCTGTATTGAGATACAATATTAATTTTTGATAGCCCACTAGAGAACACTGAAAAATAGAAATTGTTGTACTGCCTAACAGAAACTGAAATGAAATGAAATGGGGTTTAACCTACTGTTCTCCTCCAAACTGGGTTAATGAAGATGGGCATACGCCATACAGTTCGCTATGAGGGAAATTTTGTCCGGGCAGCAGCACTATGGCCTACTCTTATATCGATTTCCAACTGTCAAGGGATCTTTTATGTGCATGGCAATGTTTACATGGGACCTCTGTTTTTCGTCCCATCCGAACGACTAGACATCTGTCCTTGTCATGCCCTCCGTCCTGCATCACTGACAAGGGAGAACAGTGCAGGAAAATCTGGATGAAGTTTCTCAGCCAATGCAGGGATCGAACACCAGACCTCCAGACTAGCGATCCAGCGTCTTACTCACTTAGCCACCGTGATCCTCCTAACAGAAACTAAGAACAACACAGACAATTCTAAATTTCAGAGCTTTTTGATCTAAATTAAACACAAGAGTTCTATGGAAAACAATTACAATGATTCTCTTGTCTTTTTTGATCTAAAATAAAGTGGTAGAATGAACCCTAATGTGAAGATAAGTGAGCATACTACCTCATGCATGAGACCAAATGTGGTATTTTGTAAAATTTGCTGCTCGGTTACGTGCCTATGTTGATCTCAAATGTTGATGTGACACTCAAGTACATGTACATGTACTTTCACTTTGTCAGGGATAACTAAAATTGTAATTTCTAAGAGTATAGGCCTACATGTAAATGACTGCTGGAGTATTATATTGCTATGACATTCAAGTTTTAAGAAAAATCTCAAAACACACTATTTTAATATGGCTTTTAATCAGTGATTTAAATACAATGTATGTTTACAGTTCTATTAATCATTAACCTTTTAAACTCAGTTTTACTTTTAAATCTTTGCTAAGTGGGTAAGACACTGGCTCGATAGCCTGGAGGTCGGGTGTTCGATCCCTGCATTGGCCGAGAAAGTTCATCCAGATTTTCCGGCGTAGTTCCCCCTTGTCAGTGATGCAGGACAGAGGGCCTGACAAGGACAGCTGTCTAGTCCTTCGGATGAACGAAAAACCGAGGTCCCATGTACACATTGTAATGCACGTAAAAGATCCCTTGGCGATAGTGCCGCTGCCTGGGCAAAATTTCCCTCATAGCACACTGTATTGCATATGCCTGTCTTCATTAGCCCAGTATAGGAGTAGGACGTTAAACCCCATTTTATTTTATTTTTTTTTAAGTGTATTATACCACTGATGTGTGGATAATGTAAAAACAATTGATTTTCTTTCGGTCTGGAAATAATCGGGTTTAGTGATATCTGACAATTTCATGTCAATCCTATTAGACATTTTAAAGTACGCTTGGAATTTATCAAAATCATCCAAAAAGGTGGACAAAAATCTATGCCATGCAGAATCACAGGGACCAGAGAATGGCTGACTTTGTGTTTATTATTGTCTGGGGAGCTGCAGTGGCTGGCTGGGTGAGTAAGATTCTGACTCGCTAACCAGAAGGTCTCGTTTTCAAAGATCTTTTCATTGTGGTTTCCAACCTCGTGGGTTTTCACTGGGTCTTCTGGTTTCCTCCCACTGCTAAAGACCCCTACGCGCAAGGCTTCCGCAAGCGAATTATTGAAATAAAATTAAACCATATGTTGGTCTTGAAATGACCTAGTCTGTGTCGAGTGGACGTTAAACCCCATCTCTCTCTCTGTCCAGGCAAAATTCCTCTCATAGCCCTCTGTACAGCATATATGCCCGACTTGCCTGTTCACTAGTCCAGTTGGTTTATAAAAATAGGACATTCAACACCATATTTTACTAATTATTTTTTATTTTAAGGATCCCCAAGACACATTAAAAGAAAAATGTTCAGCGAAGGCGGAATGTCAACCATATAAAATGAAACTAGATGAATGTACAGAAAGAGTTAATAGTAATCCAGAAACATCAGAAAACTGTACTCAGGAAATAATGGATTTTATACATTGTGTCGATCATTGTGTAAGTAATAAAATTTACATCGACGTAGGAAACTTAGGGTACTGTAGTGGATGAGTAAGTCAAAAGTCCAGGCCCGGAGTTCATAAAGGATTCTCAGACTTAAAGGCTCAATACCACTCTTGTTGTAACTGAATAATATGTCCCAATCTTTATTCTGGTCAACAAATTGTACTATTTTAGAATATTTCAATTAATTGATGATACAAATTTCATCTTAACACACCTTATTTAAAAATTTTGAAAAATTCAACATAATGGTTTGAAAGGTCTAACGTAAACCTTTTCAAATGAAACTTCGATTTAAAAATATTTTCGAACCCTCTGGACAAGTAAAATAGGATGTAATGGATAATTTACACAACAGGTAGGACACTTAAACATCTAGTACTTAGATAGAGATATTATTTATTTTCTGGAGCTTTCAAGCCAGCAAGAGTGTTATTGTCCCTTTAAGTTAAGAATTTACTCAACTTTCAATCATTGTTTATGAGAAATTTCTTTAATCTAGAAACATAAATTTTTGCACATAGTTTCTTATTGATGTATTTGGTACATTAAAACAACAAAAGTTTTATAAAGGGCTATGTTATAGTTAAAATAAGGTGAACAATTTTGAGTAAATTCTTAACTTAAGTCTGAGAATGCTTTGTGAATTTAGGGCCAGGTGTCGGCCAATAAAATTCCTTAGGATTTTCCGGTGTGGTTCCCCCTGGTCAGTGGTGTAGGATGGAGGGCCTGGCATGGGCCTAATGTATAGTCGTTCAAGGGCCTGGCATGGGCCTAATGTATAGTCGTTCGGATGGTAGGAAAAAATGAGATCCTGTGTGCACATTGGCCTGCACATAAAAGAGTCCTTGATAGTACATGGCGTATGTCCGTCTTCATTAGCCCAGATGGAGCAGAACAGTAGGACGTTAAACACCATTTCATTTCTTTGTAGGGGATCACGTGGCTAAGTGGGTAAGACGCTAGCTCGCTAGCCTGGAGGTCGGGTGTTCGATCCCTGCATTGGCCGAGAAAGTTCATCCAGATTTTCCGGCGTGGTTCCCCCTTGTCAGTGATGCAGGACGGAGGGCCTGACAAGGATAGCTGTCTAGTCCTTCGGATGAGACGAAAAACCGAGGTCCCGTGTATACATTGGAATGCACGTAAAAGATCCCTTGGCAGTTGGAATTCGATATAAGAGTAGGCCGTAGTGCCGCTGTCCGGGCAAAATTTCCCTCATAGCACACTGTATGGCGTATGCCCGTCTTCATTAGCCCAGGTTAGGAGCAGAACAGTAGGACGTTAAACTCCATTTCATTTCATTTCATTTCATTTCTTTGTAATGTAACTACAATGTACATGTGTGTAAGGGAGATAAGTCTCTTTTATTCAACTGGAACATAGCCTTAAATTTGCATGTTATATCAAATCAAATTTAAACAACCCTTTTTGCTCAAGTTTAGATTAATCTTTTTAAATATTTTTTGGATCAAACATCTTTTTAATGTGTGTGGAATCAATATTTGCTTTTTATTATCAAATCAAAAGAAAGTAATTTGATCTTTTGATGCTCATATCATCCATTAATAACGATAGATTTAAGTAAATTGTGGACCAATATGCTTAATGATAAGAACACCTTGTATATAGTATTAAAGTCAATGTTTGCTTTTTATTTGTATATTGTTGTTGCCTTCTGTCGGTCCGTCGTCCAGAATTTTTATGAACACTCTAAAGACTACATTTACCATCCTTTGGTTTTGAAATTATTTATGTTGTTTTACATTGGTCATTCGTGGGACGACGAAACCTTTTTTATACCATTCGTTTCCGTTATTTACTACTAGAGTTATGCCCCTTGTTTCACTTAGTAGAACCTTTTGAATCATCCAGTTTCTATTAAATTGAAATCGGTGTCTTGTAAATTCTCCCATTACCTGCAAAAAATAAATATGCAACAACCGTTGTCAACTGCTCAGATGATTTGGTTGCTTTTGGCATAAGTTTCATTTCCTGGCAACCTATCATTAGTCTGGATATTGGAAAAGAATGTGTGGATGGAAAGTCTGTATTTGCCATGTAGTATGGAATAATATTTGTGGATGGTATGTCTATATTGACCACGTAATGTGAATTATATGCCTTTAAATCTTGTATTTGTTTTTGTTTTACAGGTAGCACATGATTTATTTAAACATATAAAATAGTGAAGATCATGGTTAGGATGAAAGTTTTATATTACAGAAATATTTATCTTCAAAGTGTGGACACAGCTTTGTTTTCATAAGTTGACATTGAGAGACAATTAGATTAAATTACGTTCTATATCATCTAGATATCAGCTCTATTATTTGGTGATATAATAAATTGATTAAAATATGTTCTTTGTCTTCTTTATTTAAAGGGGAAGCCTTGTTGGCCCAGTGAGGAGGACGTTGGCTCGCGAACCTCAAGCTCCCATATTCATCGGGATGTTTCGTTGCAGTTTCCCCTTTTCGGTGGTGCAGGACTGGGGTTCTGGCAAAGGACAATGCATAGTCATACACATTGGGCAAAAAACAATGGACCTGTGCATGTGAAAGAACCCTTGGCAGTTGGTCTTCCATATAAGAGTAGGTCGTAGTGTCGCTGTCCATTTTTTTCTTGCATTTTATACAAAACAAAACGGTGAAAAGACAAAAACAGTAAAAAACTGATTGAAAGTTCTTTATTTCTAAATTATATTTGGCATCTAACAAATCAGACATTCTGTCTGTTCACCCCCACCACCAATTGCCATGATGTCCCAAGCAGGTGCTCCTTTTAGTTACGGTTAATCCAGCACTGAGCTGATTGCAACTATAAAGGTAGTATTGTTAATTTCTGAACAACTGATTTGATATTACAGTAAAAACGGAAACGACTGAATGTAAATCAGTTTATATACATTCATATTACATTACTATATGCTTTGAAACCTATTTGTGTCAATTTCTAGGTCCCAAATATTAGCGATTTAGCTCCATTAATTAGGTGTTAATTTACCGTTAATGGGCTGTGCCAATCTCACAAACAGAGTTGTCTTCCCTTGCAGTCCACCCGGATAGCGAGACTTTTTGGAGGAAGGGTTTGTGCCGGAATGGAGCGACTGCCGCCATGTTCGTTCCAGGGAGTTTCAACGCAAATTACGGATTTGTACAATGTTCGCACCAATAAATCGGTGTCCAACTATTTTAAAATGTGCACAAATATTAATTGTTTTAAATTTCTCGCCCAGATATTTATTGTTTAGTACAACTAGTGATAAAGATCAATGGAACGACTCATCTCCGGGTCCCTCTTTCAACTTGAAGCTTATAGAACAGTTAAATTTGACATGTAATAATAATATGTATAATGCGCTATACTCCATCCATAAAATGTATGCGCAACGCTCAACACAAATAAGTCTCATAAAAATAAAAGTTACTACTCTGGATAAGATAGCTTGAATAAATAAGTCTTTAGCTGTGTCATGATTTGAAAACAGTGAAAGTGATTCTCTCATTCTGGATGGTGGTTGATTCCAAAGCCAGGGTCGGCGACATAGAAACTTCTATCACCAAAGCGAACAGGTAAATCTAGAGTATTCATATCGTGCGATCGTATGCAATACTTATGAAAACGCTAGATCGGAGACCTTCCTGCAAAATGACGTCATATGTGGATTAGGCTTTGCCCTGTGCGATAGCACTGTTTGCATCTCGAGACTTTGACGAAATCTGCAGATCCCAACCCTTATTCCATATAATATGACCTCAAAGGCGCAGGACCGTCTCCGATCTAGCTTTCTCCGAAACCTTGGTTTTACTCTTTTGTCCAAAAGTTACGATAAATATTGTGAAGCGAGATCATAATGTGCGCGATCTCGACCTCAGTGTCTCTAGTCGTCTACTTTACTTTCGCTTTCTATTTAATTTTAATTTAAAATGTTGATCTTTTAAATTAGTGCGTATTTGTGTAGATTATATAAAGGAGATACTCGATTGAACGTTCAGGAATTAAATTCTCTCAATTCCGAAAATAGTATCAATCGAGTGAAAAGGAGAATTTCGGAGTACAACGTATGTGCCGACTGCATAACAAATGTCGGGACTGGCAGAACTATGACAGGGCTGAATTCCGTATCACTTATTCACTTGATTACAATTCTGTCAATTTGGGACGTTCCGGACTGATAATCCAGCACCCTCAAAGAGTCAGCAGAGGAGACACCAGAGGCGGCGTCTCCATCTCGAAATTGAAATAAAAAATATCCAAAAATAAAACTGAAAGAAAACACTAAATTCTGTTAGAAAATTTGATATTGACCCCCAAGAGCACAGGCCTCGAGTCCAATGGAGGGGCCTCATTCCAAGAAAAGGGCCCCGTAATAAGTGCAAGGATCCCTGTGACTTCAGTGCGAGGCCCTGAGACCAAGAAAGGAGCCTCCGTAGCTAAGAAAAGGGCCCTGTTGACATCAGTGTAAATGCCCTATACATTTGTCCAATAGTAAGACATGTCCGTGACCTCTCATCCTCCTGAAGTTATTGCTAGCGATCGAGGTGACAAAACTAGCAGGAGCTTATGATCTGTTTCCGCTCAATTGTGGATCTTGAATCACCTGCATTCCTCTAAGGATCCACCAGTACAATTTTTTTTAAATATTAAGTTTTACAAAGCGAAGACCAATTAAAATCCAAACATTTGCTTTGCTTAATAAAAGCATGGTAATGTTCGGACTTTGTCTATTTTTCTCGTTTTCCCTTATATCCTGACAGTCAATTATTTTATTTATTTTTTTGAATTATCAAATATCCTCCCATAGTCTCACACAACAACTTTTGGCCTTCGAAGGAATTATTAGTGAGCAGACATTCGCCTGTGTATCTGTTATCACTCTTCACTTCAGCCAGTTATATAAACAGATCACAATTCTATGGAATACAATTACTGCTTATTACTCAGCGACGTTTCCACTAGGCTTCTCTAGTCATTATCAAGCATACTACGGCCACCTCCGGATTTCGTCCCTGGTCACGAGATGTAAATCGGACTGGCGCTAACCTTGACCCTAACTCTAAATCCCTATCCATACTCCACAATCATGGGCAACAGTCACGTGGCCTAGCCCTGTTTACATATCGTGACCTTGTTGAAATCTGGGGATGGCCTTACTATTCAGGTGTGACCGTGTTTGGTCACCTTTACTCCTGATAACCTCTAGCGACTGGCCAGCAAAATGTACTTTTCAGAATAAGGAACGCGTCTCTCCGTCTTTCTTAGCTCCGATGGTGAAGAAAACTGAGACGTTAGTTAATCCCCATTTTATTTCAAAAATATGGATATTCTTGAAACTGTAAGAAAGGGCTACCACCAACAGGTAGGAGAGATTGTGAGTCATCATGTGATATTGTAAACAATAATACACCCCGACTTATTGGTGTGGTGATAATCTAAATTACTGTGTTCATTCACATAAATTGATGCATATTGACTGGGCAAGCTCAGGTTCTGTAATTCGTTATGAACAAGATAAATTGTTGAAAAACATGTCGCAATTACGATATGATCATCTCGCAGTTACGACATAATTAGACGAGGTAGGAGATAATTTTAATCTGATCGCTATCTGTCGTAATTAGAGCATGAAAATAATGAGAGCATGGTATTAATGAGACCAAGACATGAGTGAATGATATTAATAAGGGTCAATCAAGACCAGTAGGGTCAGTCAAGACCAGTAGGGTCAATCAAGACCAGTAGGGCCAATAAATAAAAAATAATATGCTGATTGCGACATAATAATCCCTCGTAAATACGAGATAATTTTAAGGTCGTTTTGTCTTAATAAGAACATTTTAACCAGAGCATGGATTTAATGGGAACATATTATTAATGAATGAAATTAATGGGAACATATTATTAATGAATGAAATTAATGAGAATATATAATTAATTAATGAAATTAATGAGAACATATAATTAATTAATGAAATTAATGAGAACATATTATCAATGAATGAAATTAATGAGAACATATAATGAACGAGGGCAAGAAATAAATGCATCGATTACGACCTATCACCAGTCGCATTAATTTCAATATTCATTTTTGTTCTGTAACATAAAATACATTACGGTGTTGGCCTAGCATTATGTTATTGTATGGTGACCTTGAAATTATCTCGAAATTACGAATTAATTATGTCGTAATTACTAGCTAATGATGTGGTTTATAGGGAGCAGCATATGAGGCTTATAGGCCTGGCTATTCTGATGAGACTGTAGACTTTGTATTAGATATGGTGAGAAAAGTGGAAATACCATCTCAGCAAGGTTAGTGCATAGAAATTATAGCCCGATAGACTAGAAACAGCTACTACATCAGTGTTTCTCAACCATTTTATGCCGACGGCACACCTTGGAGCACATGGAAAAATAGCGGCACACCTGGCTAAATATATATGAAAAAAATAGCGCACACCTGGCTAAATATATATATGAAAAATATTTGAATTTTGCAAAATAAAAAAATGGCAAGTCATAAATGGCATACAACCGTAGACAGAGACTAGTCATAGACACATAGAATGACTCAAACTAAATAAAAAGCACAGCTATGAACTTATCAGTAGATACCGGTGAGTGCTTAATTGGGATCATGTGGTTTTTCGCATTTTCTTAGTGTGCCGTTCAAAATTCCGCAGCACACTTAAGAAGATCTCGCGGCACACCTGTGTGTCGCGGCACACCTGTGTTGAGAATCACTGGTATAGATATAGGGTTGTAGCTGATTTGCTAGACCACAAAGCATACAAACCAAATGAAATCTTATAATACAAGTAACCACGGTTTTTGTTCTATCCGCACTGATGACATCAAACATCAATCAGCTGGATCTCCTGTTTTAAATTGTTTTTAATATGACAAAGGGAGACGATCACCTACCTTCACGTTCACACAGCCTTTTTAAGTGATGTTTTGATATACAACAGATTGTTTTTGGGGGGTATTTTTCTCCGTTTAAACCCATTTTCTATTTTTGATATTACGCCGTCATATCTAAATAAATTATGCTATAAGTTCCCTATATCACAATTCGTGCTACGATTGAAATCATGGAGTAAACGTGATGGTCAGGGCCGTAACTAGCTCTAAGGGGGCGGGAAGTGTTCTCGGGGGTGCTGTAAAATTGACTGACCCTGTATATCTATTTTTTTAATGGTCGACAATTTTTTCACGGGGGGAGGGGGGCGAAACTTTTTGCAAGGGGGCTCCCCCCCTGCCCCCCCCCCCCCGTTACGGGCCTGGTGATGGTCCTATCAGATCTTATCGATGTTAGTCGTAGCAATCCTCTTGATCGTATCAAAACGTATCCAAACATATCTGTACGTACCAGATCGTGGAATCAATAGGAACAATTCTATCGTAACGCATCGCACGACAGTAGAAACCTTGCTTTAATTAAATCAACCTGTCCACGATATCATATAACAATGTATTGGACAATACAACTACAATAAACAGTTGAACACTCAAATCTAGCTTCTCAACACGAGTGATAACGTTAAAGCATTAACTGGATAAAACACCCAAGAAACAAATGGAAATATTTACCAGGGGTTTTGTAGTAACTTCAATGGTTCATCTCGAGCGAATGGACAGAGATGCGACTGACTTGTATTTACCAGGGGTTTTGTAGCAACTTCAAAGGCTCATCTCGAGCGAATAGACACAGGTGCGCCTGACTTGTATTTACATAAAATATTTGGTTTTTTTCCCCATCTAATTACCTATAACACCTAATCCTAATCCGCTTAATCCACTAATCCTAATTAGACCTTAATTGGATTAATCAAAAGTGGGCACAGTGAGGACACACCGTATTTACCATGCTTGTATTCAAAGGCTCATCTCGAGCGAATTGACAGAGATGCACCTGACCTGTTTTTAGTATTATCACGTTATTCATTGATCAAACGTTTGACGTAGATTTTAATTCTGGCTATAGATTTGTTCACTTAGACATATGGTCGACCACAAACGGAACCAAGTTGTAGTTTTAGTAAAAATTCAAATTTTGATTTACATTATTATTTCCATGCATTATATGCTATAATAATAAGCATGGGAAATTACTATACTATTTTTACGACAGTGGCCCCTTAAGGGTTATACTATCTTCGTTAAAGGTGATATAATTATTATTCTTTGTACTTCAGAAAATACCATCAAGTATGATATAGTTGAACTTGGAGCGGGTACTGGTAAATTTAGTAGAAAACTGTTAAGTAAAATAGTAAGTATTGTTTTTGTTTATTAAGTAAAATAATAATTATTGTTATTATTTATTAAAGCGGAAATTTCAAATTTTTAAGTTATATTTTTAAAATTTATTAAAATAAAGCCTGAAAATAGATGGTATCCATAAACAGCCCTACATTGTTAAAGAATAATCCTATTAATCCTATAATTCACTATTGCCAGTTGAGAAATTGGCAAAAATATCATTTTCAACTTCATTTTCAATCGTTTGAAAAAAGCTACTCCATGGTGGAGAATAGAAAACAAGGGAGGTAATTGTGTTATTATTTCCTGTGTAAATGAGTTTTAAGTGTGAGAATGACACCTATGATCGTATAATTGTGAGTTGACAACCTATTGAGCAAAAGACATAGAAATAATTACGTTTTGACTTTCTTAGAAAATTTGAAATTCTCGCTTTAAATAAAATAGTAAGTATTCTTATTGTGTATTAATTAAAATAACAAGTATTGTTATTGTTTATTAAATCAAATAGTAAATATTGTTATTGTTATGTAAACTATTAAGTACATACGTATGATATTTCAATATCGACAATCCAAGAAAAATATTGAAAGGCGAAATACTGGGTTATGTTAAATATGGGTCACAACTACTATACACTTAGTAAACCGCCCATCCGGCAAAAAGTATATCCGTTAAAAAAGTCCATCGGTAAAATGCCCAATCGATAAAAAGAATCAGACACCCGTGCCAATGGGTAACCTTAATTGTGTTGGCCCCAATGTTTAAAACGTTTGAAATCTCTAATTATTTAATCAAGATTTGTTTATTTCTGGTTTGTCTAAAACAAAGATGATGATTTTTCTTTAGAAGCAAGAGAAGTTCCTGGTAACTGAGCCATTAGTGGAATTTCTGGAGACGTTGAAGGAACAAAGTCCTGGTGTGGAATCACTGCAGTGTGCTGCAAATGATATCGCATTGCCAGATAATTCTGTGAAAGTTTGTACTTCATTGAATGATTTTCTTGTTTTAAAGCACTCAAACCATTATTCATATCTATTTATACAATTGTTTGTATGTACATCGCCATCCTGTACATGCGTGTGCTCAGACCACAGATCGCGTTCATTAGCCCAGTCGGAGCAGAACAGTAGAACTTCCTACTGTTCTGTCCATACTGGGTTAATGAACACGGACATACGCCATGTATAGGAGTTAACTTCCTACTGTTCTGCTCCGACTGGGCTAATGAAGACTGCCAAGAAATATTTTGCGTGCACACCAATGTGTACACGGAACCTCGGTTTTCCATCCCATACGAACGACTACACGTTGTCTGCTCTGCACCACCGACAAGGAGAAACCGCGACGGAAAATCCCCATGTACCTCCTGGGCCAATGCAGGAATCTGGCAGGATAGAAGATTGAATAAAGCCAGTTGAACACAACCATTTTAAACAAAATCATATTTTTCAGGCTTTTATATGTGCTCAATGTTTCCACTGGTTTGCTAATAAAAAGAGTTTAACAGAAATTAATAGAGTTCTGGCGCCAAACGGTCTTTTAGGTAAATATTATTTTTTAAAACTATCTAAAGGATATTATAGGACGCTTTAAGGTTCAATAAATTATTAGGTATGGAAAAATAAAATCCAATAAAATGGATTGCTGTTGCGAGAAATCCTTCCTTGATGGAAAACAGTATGTGTAAAGGGGGTGCTTTTAAGGGAGGAAGGAAGAGTCGGGGGTCTTCTTAAGCAGTGTTTTAGCGACATCTGAAGTTGGTCGACTTATGCACGAAAGTTGATTGTTGTACGCAAAAGTCGAATTAAATTTCGACGTTTTGTCGGACCCCTACTCCCATGGGAAGGGGATTCGCAACTTAAGAATCAAGGTTCAGAGTATCGGGCGCCGCTGTTTACTCATCTAGCATAGTAGAAATTTTGTACGCGATTTTCTATACAACCTGAACCTAGCTCTCTTACAAACGCCGATGTTTATCTGTTTTGTTTTCTGAATGCAAAATACAAAAAAAAAAGAATTGTCGAAGCCCCAAACCAAACAATACACCTTTAACCTACTTTAAAAGTAATTGCGGACAAAGAAAACAATTTCAAATTATTTTGATTTCATACTTCTATACTTGTCGATAGTACATCGTTTTAAAGACTTTATTGTGACTGATAAGAGAAATGCATAGATTTTGCGATACTCTCGGAATGGTTGATGCTGATGTAGGTACACATATGACAATGCTACACAAGAAATCCCAAATAGATCATAGCCATTATGCGTTATTGACGAACGTGTAAGGAGTATTTTGTTCTTTAATTACATTAGCCCAGCAAATCTTTAGCTCGTATTTGGTCTATATATCAATAGTTATATTCGCCCCCCAGACCCATCAACATCCACACCCACCACATACAACATACACGCAAAAACACTAAAGAAAAAGGAACCCAAACAAACTTGTATATATATTTTAAGTTCTGGTATGGAGTCTGCCTGATGGAAATGTGCCATGGGTCAGAGAACTACTCACGCTACTTACAAATAATATGAAAGGGAATCAACCAGCTAACCTGTTTAATGGTACGTGGAGTGATGTTTTCAAAGAATTTAATAATTTCAAACTGATTGAAGACAAAAAGTTAGACGATGACTCAGTTGGGGTAAGATATCATTTTATCGAAGACGCTATAAAGTTTGATCTCCGCTCTCATTCAGCACAAAGGAACTATTTACTTTCAGAGGGGCACTTTCGCAAAGTGGAATCCCCGGTTGTACGTGGCAAGGAGTAGGGTCGCCTGTCCAACCTCGTGGGTTTTCTCCGGGTCCTCCAGTTTCGACCCCTACGCGCAAGCGAATTATTGAAATAAAATTAAACCATATGTTAGTCCCGAAATGACCTAGTTTGTGTCGAGTGGACGTTAAACCCCATTTCTCTCTCTCTCTCTCTATCTCTCTCTCTCTCTCTCTCTCTCGCAAAATTAGTAAGACGCTGTCTGGCTAGTCTAGAGGTCGTGGGTTCGCTCCCGGTGTTGGCCGAGAAAGTTTATCGGTATTTCCCGGCGTGATTTCCCTTTCCCCTTGTCGATGGTGCTGGACGGAGGGACTGACAAGGACAGCTATCTAATGGTTCGTATGGGACAAAAAAACCGAGGTCCCGTTTACACGTTGGCGTGCTTTGAAAAGAATCCCTGGCAGTTGGAATTCGATATTAGAGTAGGCCATAAGAATTTCCCCCATAGCACACTGAGTGGCGTGTGCCTGTCATCATTAGCCTAGTCGTAGCAGAACAGTAGGACGTTAAATCCCATTTCGACTAAATGAAATGAAATGAAATGGAGTTTAACGTCCCACTGTTCTGCTCCGAACTGGACTAATGAAGACGGGCATACGCCATACAGTGTGCTATAAGGGAATGTTTGCCCAGACGGCAGACAACGGCACTATGGCCTACTCTTATATCGAATTCCAATGTTCGTATATGTGTAATTGTAATTCAACATACCATCATTTGGAACTTTAATTAAGTTAAATTTGATAAAAGAAAGATGACAATTCAATTCCGGCATCCCACGGAGTATAGCCCTTTCTTGTGAAATCTCGTCATGAGTTTTTTTAAGCTTGGTAAAAGAAACACGCCATTGAGTTTCCGTAATTTAGCAAACTAACCCATTGTTTACTTTCGATTACAGGGAACCGTAAAATATTTGGTGGATATGTTTTCAACATACAGCTTTATAAAGTCCATGGAAACAGATGAGAATTCGAGAGTTCTCTCGGAAATTGGACACTTAATAGAAAAATATCACCCGACCAGTTCTTATGTTAATTTTCCTAATTACTTTCACGTGGTTTGTTACAAGAAAACGATGGAATAAACCGTAAAAAATAAAACACTGTCTTAACAACTAAACCCAAATAAACATACATTATGAAAGAGCTAAATCTGCTAATTACAGGTCTTTCTTTAGCCCTGAAATAGTATCTAAATTCTGGCTTCATTAGCCCAGTCGGAGCAGAACAGTAGGACGTTAAACTCCATTTCATTTCATTTCTGTTATATAAATTATTAATAAGACATTAATTAACTTATCCAGACCATAATCAACTCACCATGTCATAGTTAGCCAGAGATATTTTCTGGATTAGAATCCGATCTGCTGCTCAACGCTCATTGATGATGAAATCATAAAGTGGGTAATCTAGTCTATGTTTTGTTATCGCACCGACTTTATTAATGATGATTGAGACTAGGCCTAAAATTCAATCGCTAAATTCTCGGTTCAGAGTGGATCAATTTGACTGAAATTTTCAGTAAATTCCCTTTTACATTATGTAGTTTTTAACTATTATAATGAGAACTGCCAGTTCTTTATTTATTCTCCCATAATGTATCTTTTAACCAAAATGAATTTTTCACAAAACTTTGATGGTTGTTTATTTTTAAATAATTACACAATTACACAACAATAGAAATTTACAAAACAGAAGACAACTTCATGTTTTCTAATATCTGTAGTTTGTGCCCGAAAAATGGAAATACATTGCCCGTACATTGGATGACGTATCTATAGTTTATATATAATAGTAAGTGCAGGGGTACTGCACCACACAAAATTTACACAAAAACAAATACACGGACAAGACATCATACTCAGGAAAACACAAACAGACAGACAATTCAAAAAAAGTGAATGGATCCGGTGGGTAGCCGCAAGCGTCCACTGCACTGTACAGTTTGTAGTGACACAGACTTCACTCAAATTTGAAAACAATCAGGAATACAATCCAAAGAAACCATTGTGCAATGCCAACATGAGTCATGATCTGCTATATGCTACACGAAATACGAATGTAAGCATATGTAGTAAAATTCAACTATACACGTAACCACATCGGTGAAATGTATAAAAAAAAGTATTCTAAACCTAAATGCTCTAAAAATAGTCAAGAAACGTTTCAGTATTCAATACATATAGGGCACATGTTCCATCCGTCACAAAAACAAAACAAAAACAAAACTGAATACAAAGAAGAAAATAGGAAATGTAGACTGTCTCGAGAGACAGCCGTCTGCTGACTGAGTGGCGACGTTATTTTGGGAATGACGTCAAATCCTAGAAGGTGATAAAAAAAATCACAATAATAAGGGTGATAATCCTGATAAAATAACGTTAAAAGCTTATAAAAACTATAAGTTTTAGCGACTAATCTGAATTATTATTATTAAGTTATGTAATTGTACAATTTATAATATATTAATATAATACCCCACACAAAAAATGCAAAACAGGTATGCTAAAGAAATCATACTATGTAAGTGTATTTATAAAGGAATAAAAAATAAGGGAGGTAATTCATACAGGGTTAGGTAACTACAGAAAATCTAAATTAAAATTTAGATTGGATCACTATCCAGTATGTAGTCGGTTATATACTTATAAGAAATGTCAAACTTGGTATGCTGAAGAGATGGAAGTTTTGAAATTTCTTTTAAAATACGTAATTGTGTACCGCCTTTGGCAGTGCATTTAAAGTAAAGAGATTTTATTCGGGAGAGAAATAGTTCTTTATTGTTACATATTGTCAAAAATCGTAATGCCTGTGAATAGAAAACACTATATAGCGTGGTATCTGGTATGTTAGTTCACATTGGTAAACCAATAGTTTGCTGTATTATCTGATCCCCAACCTCAAATATGGCATTGTCAATGAGGAAATGTATGATGTTTTGAAATTTTTCTTTAACAAAAACTACAGTGTCGGCATTGCGACGTTTTGTAATCCTTTTAGCATCTTCTGCATAAATGGCCATCAAGTTTCTGCCTTTCCCGAAAGCTCCATTAAAGCGGGGTTAAATTTGCCTTTCAGATATCATTCAGTGTTCCTAGGGAGACATCATTCAGTGTTCCTATAGGGAGGACATCATTTAGTGTTCCTAGGGAGACATCTTTCAGTGGTCCTATAGGGAGGACATTATTCAGACATCAGGCGGACATACTCACAGCCCACTCGGCTTAAGGCCTCGACACCTACATCATGAGGGGTTCTTAGAAGAAGGCATGCCCACAGCCTCCTCGTTCAGAGGCTGTGATAGAGACAACATGCAGGGCTCCAAGAAGAACATACCTTTAGCTGCCTCGGCTTAGCGGCCGTGGGAGATCGCCATGTAGACTTAGAAAGAAGAGCATAACGCTACAAAACACAAGCTAAGGGAGGGAATTTATATTTAGCTTATATGGACTCAGACTAGCAATTATTTGCCCATTGACTTCATTGTTAAATGGCTGTAACATCACAGGCTGTAGCTCTTTGCTCAACATTCCGTTGGTTCCAATCTTTCTAGGCACAATGGAAACCACATTTGGCAATCTCCCCATCATAATTTTGTAGGGGGTTGACCGTTTAGATTTTTTGCTACGGGGATTTGAAGTTGACTGGGGTGAAAATCTCACTTCCGACACAATGATTGCTCTGCAGAAAGACACTTTACACCCCCAATCCCTCCGCTCTAATATCATCAATATTACCCAAAACTGCTATGAAATTGCAAATTTGATCCCTTTTCTCCAATTCTAGACCAAAAAGTCAACCAAATGCAGGAAGAGGGGATAAAAAAATTAAGGGAAAAATTTTCTATTTATAATTCGCACTAGTCTTAATCCATATTTAATGTCATAGCTTTGTATTCAGTTTCTTGTGTATAACCGTTGTATTATGGATATTATAAAGATATATAAACATAGTTAAACCGACAAAGCGTTCCAGAGTTAATTCATCATTGACGTTTTATACACAGCGTGGAATTTAAGTTAATTCATAATTAATCATAGCGCCACACTGGCAGATATTGCTAACATTGTAATACTTTGACAAAGTTACGTGGATATTAATTGGATAAAATCCGGTTCGATACGATCAATACGATTGCTAAGACTGACCTCAATATATGATAAGACCTGATAGCATCACCACGATTACTCCACGATTAAAACCACGATTTCAATCGTAGCACGAATCGTGATAGTGGGAACCTAGCATCAGGCAATATATTTAAAAAAGAGTACCTTCACAGACTTCCTCTACATGGCTTTACGTCCACGCCATTCTTATTTCCAACCCCGTTTGTTATACTATTTAAATAACAACTATATAACGTTACTCATGTGCGCCACGTCCCAGCATCTCACCTGTTTCGTCTAATCAACACGCTGGGGTTGGGTGGCTGAATGGGTAACACGTGCGCGTCTGCCATTGAGTCAAGTGGCATGGTTTCGATTCTCCGCCTGTACTTGACAAGGAGTAGGGTCGCCTATCCATCCTCGTGGGTTTTCTCCGGGTCGCCCGGTTTCCTGCTACTGCTAAAACTGAACCATATTTTAGTCCCGAAATGACCTAGTTTGTGTCGAGTGGACGTTAAACCCCATCTCCCCCTCCTCTCTAATCAACACGCCGACTGTGACGCTATGGTAGTAACTGTCTGTCAAATATTTTTAACAGTGGTCAGAAAATTAAATACTTATTTGTAAATTGGACACTCATTATCAAAATTAGTAAGTCAACTTTAAACTGGACACAAGTACAAATTAGATGATTTTTGGTGATTTTAAATGATTTTTAAAAATTGTTAAACAAAGATTTGATATTGAATGCATGTGAAAGAAATTGGTTCTCAATACACAAGATTAAATGATACCCGGGTTACAGTGTAATTTAGTGTTACTTAAGCCTCATATTCATGTCCATTTACATCGTTTTAAATGTTAACAAACCACGTGATCTGAAAAATCCCACACTGTATTGTTTCCATACTTATAACTGTAAATATACATATAATTTTAACAGTGGCAAATGTCAAGGCTTCATAACGACGAACGAAGAAATTTACAAAATGGAATACCCTGAAGACAACATGACACATTCGAATCAAATTGGGATGGGCCAACCTTATAGACACAGTTCACCAAATATTCCTACGAATGTAGGGCGAAAGTCTTTCTCTCCCTTTCCCTTTTCCTCCTTTTGCATTGCGATTTTTGTTGACCTTTTCCTGTAGAATCGAAGAAAAGGGTTTAAAAAATACATTTTCTGTCAGGTTTTGGTGAATATTCATGATTTTGAGGCGGAAGGATATGGAGAGTTGAGAGGTTGGTTAGGTTAAAATGTAGGGCAGAAACTTGCATGTTTACTAGTCTGTACTTCCAGAAAACCTAATACGTGCTTTTGAGCAAGAGGTTGCCACGTGTTGCTCCATGGGGGTAGAAAGCGTTCTACCCAACGAAAATTTGGGAAAAAGTAAGAGCCGGTCTAAGAGAATTAACATTAAAGTCAATGGAAACCATTGGTGATCTGTGGCCTTATGCTACGGTACACTGTGCTCAATTTGTCACGAGTAGATTTGTCAATAAACAGTGAACAGTTACTGCAAGGTTTGTGTAAGTAATAATCTCAACATATACCACAATGGCCTTACACGAAACAGCTATAACCGGATTTACACAGGTAAGTTGATATACTCATGAGTCATGACAATTATCGAGCTATAAAGTAATGCTGATGTTACGATTGGATTATATACTATATTCAGTAGTTATCTTAAGGCGTGTAAAATGTCGAGATGAGTTCTGTGTCAAGGTGTCCATTTAATCTCTTTGTGTCCTACATTTTAAAGCCGTGTCCTTTGTTATTGGGGGTGGGTAGGTTAGGTCTAAATATTAAGGCCAGCTGCATATTTGGTCAAATGTCACGAGATGTAAACAGGTCTAGCACTCAACCAAACCCTAACCCGTGAAATCACGAAGTCTATCATTCCTCCGCTGCTGTCCGGTCAAAATTTCTCGCATACTACACTGTATCGTGTATACCCGTCTGTATTAGCCCAGTTGCCCAGTCGGGGCAGATTACATTAAGCTATAAATATTGATGTTGACTGAGAACGTTCCTTGAGATTGTTCAGCATGGTCTCCGTCGGGCTCAGAGCATGGTTTCCCTGTGCAGGCTCAGAGCTTGATCTCCCTCAGAGCACGATCACATGTGGTATGAAGCAAATGAGAAGAAACACTCTATCGTTCCGGAGTCACACCCACACACCAATCCACCCCATCTCTCTCCCCTCCCTCTCCCCCGCCTTTTCCGAAACCACTGTGAATGGGATACAGACTTCAGTTTCTAAAAGGCCATTTATACGGAGTGCGAACGCGACCGCGATAACGACCACGACTGTAGTTAAGCAATCAAGTGATCGTGGCCATGGTCGCTCAATACAAACGGCCCGTAACAGATTTTTTTAAAAATTCTGTGTGAAGCATTAGGACTCAAAGAATGAATCCCATTGATCTCTTAAATTAGTTGTGAAGCATTGGAATCGCTGTGATGATAAACTCTTTTGATTTTAAACATTCTAGTACTTTCTGTTCCAAAGATATTACGTATCCAGAAAAGCTTATCAACGTGATATAGGTCAGATTCTGAAAGGCATAAAGGACCTTATCAAATTTGGTCAGCATCCACGTTTCCCTTTTGGATAAGGTGCTATCTATGGCATGGTCCATCTGCGCTAGCTAGCCAAGGTTACGATCGTGAAGCGAAGCGAATCGTTACCCTTGGCTAGCGGCGGTGGGCATAGCCTTGCATAGCCATCTTTACTTGCATAGCCATCTTGGAGGCGATACTAAATGTGTATGTAAAAATACAATCTTAATCTAAGGTGATTTAAGGTGCTTTATTCGTTTCTCAATTATTTAAAATGGCAATTTAGCACTTAAAAATAATTCAACAATCAATCTAGTAAAACACGGATCCTATTTCGTTTGGTTTTTTTATAGTTCAAAATTTCGTTTTACGTGTCTTCACAACACTAGGATCTGGAAGAGTTGTTATATAACAGGAATTCTAGTTGATGTGAGGGATTAGCCAATGAAAGGTCTGTTACGGCGAGTTCTTGGCGTGCTCTGCACGGAACTGTGGATAAACCCCTAGAAACGTCAACGCTGAACGCTGATTTATTAATCAATTCTGACGTCATAGGGTCAAAGGCCGCTGGTATGACCCCTGACGCGACATTCCATTACAACTGGTCAGATCTTTATGTAGTGTAAGCTATCGAAAATATAAAAAACCGAAATATAGATCTGTATTTTAATCAGATTGTTAAACAATAATATACAAATATAATCACCATTAATTTGTGTTGTTTTGTATCCTAGGGTAAGCTGTATGATGAAAACAGACCATCTTATACCGATAAAGTTGTAGACACTATCGCACAACAAATAGAAGATATACACAGTCAAAGTAACATAGGTAACAATAATATAAACTCTATTTGATTTCATTCTAAGGAGCTATATCGCTACTCTTTGGCACCAAGAATTGGACACAAATCACAACCCATATGTATTTAAACCGATTTAAATTCAATCGTTTCTGTTTTTACTCTAATTTCTATCCAGTTATGTTCGATTAAATACGCGAAGAGTCTCAATTCAATGGCAGCCTTTGGCGTCTGGTTATTCCAGTCTACATCGTTAGTATTCTCCTGTGGGGTATGTTTAACCTCGTTCATCGAGTCGCTTCTTTACAAATGGCGCTCGAAAGCATTCCTGCACGCGATTTCTGTGCCAATTTTAAAACTTTCATTTTGTCTTAAATAATGAAATCAGAAGTCCATCTTTTCACGGTAAGATAACAACATCATTGTTGATTTTCAATGTCGAAGACTGGGTGATATTGAGTTAGAGACTTACCGCCTTTAATGTACATAAGGTAAAAACACAAGATAGACTGGATGTTGTTAGAATAGGAGAGAGAGAGAGAGAGAGAGAAGAGAGAGAGAGAGAGAGAGAGAGGTTTAACGTCCACTCGACACAAGCTAGGTCATTTCGGGACTAACATGGTTCAATTTTATTTCATAATTCGCTTGCGCGTAGGGGTCTTTAGCAGTGGGAGGAAACCGGAGGACCCGGAGAAAACCCACGAGGATGGACAGGCGACCCTACTCTACTCCTTGTCACGTACAACCGGGGAATCGAAACCACGCCAGTTGACTCAATGACAGACTTTATGATACAGCGTGCACGTGCTAACCATTCAGCCATCCAAACCCCCTGTTAGAATAAGATACAAGACCGAAAATGGTTGTATTTCTTAGAAACTAACAGAACGCTCTGAATTGACGGAATTGCAATCGAGTGACGCGGAATTCAGTCCTGTCACAGTTCTGCCAGTCCCGGCCACGGAGGTGGCGTGGGTAGAATCGTGACGTAATTAAACACAACAAATATGTTTCGGCTGCATGGTTGGTTAAGATATTTTCTAATTCAGTCGACGCATGCGTTGTAGCCTGAAATAACCCTTTTCACTCGATTGTCACTATTTTTGGGATTGAGAGAATTCAATTCCGGAACGTTCAATCGAGTACCCCGCTATGTCCGCTGTGCCAAGTGCTCATGCATTCCTGGCAGCAGCCACATTAACGATTAATTATGACTTTTTTGGCTGTATATATGTGAAACAACTTTTAAGTTAAAGTAATTACCCGTCAAGGAGGGTCCATTCTCTAATGGGAGAACGCGTTGTGCAGCTGTTGTTTATAAACTGATGTTTTTTTTTTAGAATATGATGTGGTGGAACTGGGTGCCGGAACCGGAAAATTTACAAAACTGATTTGGCCAAAATTAAAGGTGAATTTTACTTAAAGATGAAACTATATAACAAATAATTAATATAATATAATATCCGAAGTCGATATCCTTTAATTGTCTGTTTATTATCCCCCGCCTTTCTAAGAAAGCAGGGACTATTAAAATGTGCCTGTTCGTTCATCTGTTTTGTCGTTCATCTGTCTGCCTGCCTGTCTGTACGTCCGTCACACAATAACTCTGCTTCTAGTTGAGCTAGAATGTTCAAACTCGGTGCATGTGTTTATTAGATGACTGTCCTGGCTGGGTTCGATGATTGGTAGATGCTTTGGGACACGATAACTTTTTTTCTAATTAAGTCAGAGTGATGAAACTTGGTGTATTGATTCATTACATCAATACCTGGACTACTTTCGATAATGAGCATTTTCGACTCAGGTTAAGCGCCTGTCACTCATTTGAACATATTTCTGCTTCAATAATGAGCATTTGCTGCTTGCGCCTTAAAAGATGTGTGTCATCTAATTTGGCGGGGAACATTAGCCTCGCTGTTGGCTTGGAACTTTTCGGACAAGGAAATAGACCCCAGGCGCTACTGATTAGGGGGCGACGCTCTTCTACCAAAAAAGCCTAAGGCTCCGCCAATTCTAGTGTGATCGACATGAGGAGCCACGGTGGCTCAGTGAGTAAGACGTTGGCTCGCTACCCTCGAGGTCCCGTGTTTGATCAGTGTGTTCGCGGTGAAAGTTCATCGGGATTTTCCTGCGTGGTTCCTCCTTGTCAGTGGTGCAGGACCGAGGGCCTGGCAGTGGACAATGTATACTCTAGTCGTACGGATGGGACGAAAACCGAGGTCCCGTGTACACGTAAAATATACCCCTGACAGTTGGAATTCGATATAAGAGTAGGTCGAAGCGCCGTTGTCCGGGAAAAGTTTCCTTCATAGCATACTGTATTGCGTATACCCGTCTGCATTAGCCCAGTTGGAGTAGAACAGTAGGACGTTAAACCCCTTGATTCTTATGAAGGTTGACATGCCTGTACCTCTGAAGTTACACTTCCAAGATGACGACATGCTCTCTTCCTGGGGCCTGTTTCACGAAATTTTAAGTAAGATAAAATCCAAATTTTTGTAATTTGATTGGATAATATTAGGTTGATTTAAGTGCTTAGCCAATCAAAATTGAAGTATTCACTAAAATTTGGATTGTATCTTTAGTTAAGATTTCGAGAAACAGGGACCTGGTCCATAGTGTAGTTCTGTACTTCTGGTTTTCCAAACAAGTAACTCTGTGTGAATTAGTAAAATTAAATCCAGTTGTATTTTATTTTCAGAATAAATCCTATTTGGCTACAGAACCATCGGAAGGATTTCTGGCAACACTCCAACAACAATGCCCTGCGATTAAAAAGATACAATGTACAGCCAGTGATATTCCTTTACCAGATAATTCAGTTAAAGTACATCAATAAGTTCTAATCCTCAATATGTTTAAAGTAGGATGGATAGATCTAATTATTAAGTCCTCCTGCAGATTTCGTCAAGTTTGTGCGATAGCTCAGTGGTAGAGCTCTAGACCGGCAACTTCTGGGCGAATAGGTGCCGTCATGTGTTTGATTCTCGTAAGGGTTGAGAAACGTTAGACCCACTGCCCGTGCTTTCTGGGGCGGGGGGGATTCTGTAAAGAACCCTCACCTCCCGATAACCCTAGCCCAAACCCACAATCCTTGTCAACAATCACGTGCCCTAACCCTGCTTACATCTCGTGACTATGGTGAAATCTGCAGGTGACCTTAGTATTCAGATCCGACAGGTTTATGATAGGGTGCCTTATCAGTTTTTCTGTATTCGGTTCACGTCCTTTCTTATTTTCGCCTGTCCAGCCTCGTGGGTTTTCTCCGGGTCCTCCGGTTTCCTCCAACTGCTAAAGACCCCTACGCGCAAGCGAATTATTGAAATAAAATTAAACCATATGTTAGTCACGAAATGACCTAGTTTGTGTCGAGTGGACGTTAAACCCCATTTCTCTCCCTCTCTCCTTTCTTATTTCACTCTCGTTTGCTTTACTGTTTCGTACAGCACATAAATTTTATAACATTTAGTAACGGGGCCTTGTTTGTTCATTAACATCTAGATAAAGGTGCCCAGATGGTACTCACGTGCCGTGCGCCAAATGCCAACACGCTGGCTAGGATGTTAGAAGAGAGACTGTCAGCTATTGTGTATAAATAAACACTTGGCTGATGACAGAAAACTACTATTATAGTACTTCTACATACTAATATCAATTTTTATAAGTATTTTGGGCAGTTATCGGTGCTCATATGATATTAATAATGATGTTTTAACATTTTAGGCAGTTATCTGTGCTCAATGCTTTCATTGGTTTTCTACACCTGAAAGTATGGACGAAATTAAACGAGTTATGTGTCAAGAAGGAAAATTGTGTAAGTGACTGCGACTGTGGTGCTTTATATTAACTTTTTAACAATCTGATTAAAACACGGATCCTATTTCGTTTCGTTCTTTATAGTTCAAAATTCGTTTTACTTGTCTTTACTACACTAGGGTCTGGAGGAGTTGTTATATAACCCGTGTTCTGGTGGATTAGCCAATGAAACGGTCTTTGGCAGTGAGTTCTTGGCGTCCGATGCACGGAACCGTGGGTAAACCACTAGAAACGTCAACGCTGATTGATTAATCAAGGTCTGACGTCATAGGGTCTAAAGCCGCTCGTGTGACCTTTGACGCGACCTCCGACTACAATTGGCCAGATCTTCATGTAGTAGAGGCCATCGAAAGCATAAAAAACGAAACGAAATATAGATCTGTGTTTTAATCAGATTGACTTTTTAATTAATGCATGGATCCTAACTGCTAACAAAACGTGACCAAAGGTCAATTGTCGATGTTTACACACCCCAGCCCAGCTCTCGGGCTATTATTGAATTTTGAAAGATAGGTTTCATCAGTTTTTCAAATATTTCCGCTTGAACCAGAAATAGTTAAGAACCACTGCGTTAAAGGGGAATTATCATGTTCCTGAAGCAACGACCGCGAGTTTTACAACACCTAGTCGTTGCTTCAATACTCAACAATTCCCAAATTTTTGCGCTCGTTGTGTTTATACGTGACTAATTAGCATTGTCCAATCAGGGGTCGTGGCACATAACACACTGTAAACAATGGCGGCCTCCATAGAAAAAGAAATAAACAAGTTTACAGCCTTTGTTGATCAACCATGATTTCCAGCAACCTTGACATTGATCGAACCTTGAACTTTGCAACTCGATTGTCACATGTAGACATTTTAGCTAGAAGCGCGATACTTGATAATCGTAACCATATTTTTAACGAAGGAATCTGATAGGATCACAAGCTGGGCTTATACCCAATCAAAATTAGTGCTAAAATATGCGGGGTATTACGTGAAGGGCTTGATAAGATGTACGTAGTTCAGGCGAGATCAAGCCTTCTATTGAAGATGGGGAATTATGGGAACGTACATAAAGAGCTAACAGTTCTCACTGTAGTAGTTAAAAAATAGAGCACGTGAGGAGAATATGCTGAAAATTTCAGTCAAATTGCTCCACTCAGAACCCAGATATAAGCGATTCAATTTTAGGAAAAGCCTCGATCATCATTACTAAAGTCGGTACGATAAAGAACAAAATCTCTATCATCCATTTTGACGTAAATCATCCAGCACAAAATGTATTCAAATCCAGTAAATGTTGCAAGCTAGCGATGGCATTAAGAGTTGATTATGGTCTTGTTTTGTTAATACATGTCTAATTAATAGTTTATATAACATTTTAGGCCTAAAGATAGACCTGTAATAGACAGATTTACTTCTTGTGTATTAAGTTTTGTGATTTGGTATGTTATTCCAGTTTTACTATGGAATGTGAAGGACACGTCTGTAGAATGGGTGGATACTTTCATTAAAATAATAAGACAGGATCAACCACCATCGCCTAATCATTATACACTGAACTGGAAGGAAGATATTGATAATTATTCTGGTTTCAAACTTCAACAACTTCTAGAACTGCCTGGTGTCGAGTTTGGTGTAAGTGTATATACATTAAACTTTTAGTTATCATCGCTTATACGGACAATGAACAAGTCATGCTTAGTGTTCTCTTGTATTACGGGGGTTGGATGGCGGAATGGTTAACGCATGCGTGTTGCATTATAACGTCTGTCATTGAGTCAAGTGGCGTGGTTTCGATTCGCCGCTTGTACGTGACAAGGAGTAGGGTCGTCTGCCCAACCTCGTTGACTTTCGCCGGGTTTTCATGTTTCCTCACACTAGCAAAGACGACTACGCGCAAGCAAATAAATGAAATAATATTGAACCAAATCAGCTAGTTTGTATCGAGTGGACGTTAAACCCCATTTTCTTTCTCTTGTTTTACACAATTCTGCTAAAATGGTCAGATTTTACATTTCCCAATATTTATTTGGGTATGTGTTACGGTAAATATACAAAAGCCAATAGCGGAACCTTGTTTTTTGAATTTGTATTTTCAGGGATCTGTAGATGATTTGATCAAGAATGCACAATCGGTGAGTGTAGTAGCTTCGATGCCAAAGGATGAACAAGAAAAGAAGAGTGAAAGAGTGCGACAATATCTGATAGACACTCACCATGATAAGGAATATATCCAAGTTCCGTTTAAAACAATGTTATGGGTATATTCTAAGGTATAACTGTATCAATAAAGATATCAATACATTGTTATCTAATTGTTATCAATACATTACATCTGGTTAATCCTTTGTAATTGTTATCCACTTGTATATTGTATATAAGGGTTTCTTATTGATTTTAATGGTATGCTGTTTAACTTTGAATGTCTTCCGTCTGTTAATTAGTTGATTGTTAACTATTTGTATATAACCTTCTGTAAACTGTTACATTGTATCATTGCTTGATAACAGTGAGAGTATCCTCATTGAAACGTTGCAGTTGTAAACCTAGTGAATGTTATCCATTAAAGGACAATATTGGTGCCAGTCATTATCACATATGTGATAGAACTGGTTAAACACGTTCCAAATATTATTTTATCACAGAGATCACTGCTACGATAGATGAGTAATCAATGTTTCAACAATAGGAAGTGACGAACGGAAAGGGAAAACACGAGTTATCCCTATATTATAACTGACTGAATTGACGGGTGATAACAGATACATGGGCGAATTTCTGCTCACTAATAATTCCTTCGAAGACCAAAAGTTGTTGTATGGGACTGTGAAAGGATATCTGACAATTCATAAACAAAATTGACTGTCACTAGATAAGAGAACATGAAAGAAAAATAGAAAAAGTCCGTGCATTACCATGTTTTTATAAGTAAAGAATGAATAAACACCCGTGAATGTACGACTGTTTCTATTTTTCTCGTGTTCTCTTATCTAATGACATTCAATTACTTTTTTGAATTGTCAGATATACTCTTACAGTCTCATATAACAACTTTTGGTCTTCGAAGGAATTTTTAGTGAGCACAAATTCGCCCATGTATCTGTTATCACCCATCACTTCAGTCAGTTATAATAGAGGGATAACTCGTGTTTTCCTTTTGCGTTCGTCACTTCCTATTGTTGAAACATTGATTACTCATCTATCGTAGCAGTGATCTCTGTGATAAAATAATATTTGGAACGTGTTTAACCAGTTCTATCACATATGTGATAATGACTGGCACTAATATTGTCCTTTAAGTTGTCAGTTAATTACTTCTCTCATCTTGTTAATTCCTTATTAATGATTAATCTGTTATATGGTTTCCGATTGTTATCTAAATATTGCACCACATGTTTGTTAAATATCATTATTTGCTTGATAACGATATCTGTATGTGTATCGAGACGTAGCCTGTTAATAAAATTCAGAAGTAGTATATCCATATAAGTGTTTTTAATTGAAGATATAGAAACAGGCGTGTCATACGTTGAAATATAACCTACATAGGATTAAAGATGCATTATGTAAGATTTAGATAAAGAGCTGACCATTCTTGTTATAATAGCTCATCAAAAATAGATAATGTAAAATGAAAATATTGAAAATTTAATTCAAATTACTTCATTCAGAGCCAAGTATGTGCCTAATTAATGTGTTGAAGAGAAAAGGCACACAAGCCAAATCTCCACCCAATTACCAGGATTACACTCTCCACCAACACAGATCGCAACTCACGGCAAACACTTTGCTACCTTACAGAGATTCCTTCTGTCGCCTTTTACGACACACAGGCCATACGAAGGATTTACTCTTATCACCCCCTACACCCCAAGGGGGTAGAGGGGACGACGAGGTATTGGTAGGAGCGTATGTTTCGATGTTTATCCACCTATAATTTTCAATATTAGCCACTTCTAAACAAACCCTATATTTGTGTGACAGATGTGCATGGTGGTGGTTGTCCATACTGAACTTAGGAAATAGAACATCCGTTTTTTGCTGTTTATCCAGCTTTCAAGACGCTGGTCTATTTTACGTTGAAGTGTGAGAGTAATAACCTTTTTTGTCCTGTAGCTAGGCAGAATTCGTTTACACTATTTTATTACAGAAATAATTATATTTTATGAGTGTTGTGTTCACTGCAGCGTAAAACCAACTGCATATCGTTATTATAAACATTATAATGTTAAAGAAGATCCAATGTCCTATATAATTATATTGTAATATACTTCCTTCTTTAAGATCATATTTGTATAAAATCCACGGGTTTCTCTGTATTAGTATTACCGCAGGTAAGTCGTAAAATTATATTATAGTATTTCCTAAAGGGTTATATAGAAATTAGCAAATGGAGAGTACATCGTAAATACACCGACTTTATTCGTTGTTTCTATTTAGGCGTAGAATAACAACCAAATCGAAATAAGGACTCGCTTCAAGATTCAACAATAATTATTCCGCCATGCATACATCAGACTTGGTTTCAAATCATGTTTCCCTGGAAAGAGATGATGGTCAGATTTACAAACTAAAGCCCCCCCCCCCTATCCCGTGCTATGTTGCGTCCTGGGTCACAATGATCCCAGGACATGGCTATTGTATAATAACCTAGTTAACATTTATCATTACTCTTACGTAAAGTTTACGTCATTTTGGTTAGCGTCCGATAATAACGTTTATTTTTTTACGATTTTGTAACTTTTTTATCGATTTGAATACTTGTGGATTAAATAACCATACCAGTGTGTGTACATTCTAACAATTGATAAATAGTTGGTATTCAAACATAAAAATGTGATAAATGTTATTAGTTATAAACTGAACGTTAATGGAACGTAACCGTTAGTTTATGTTTAGTTTTGAAACGTAAATCTAACGTTAGATTTACAGTTAGTTTTCTAACGTAAAAAGACGTTAGTTATCTAATGTAAATCTAACGACTGTTTTCTAGCGTAAATAGAAAGTCAGTTTAATGTTAGGATACTAACAATTCAATTACTGTTAGTTTTTGATCGTTAGTTATAATCTGAGCTTAATCTTCAATTAGATTTTAAACATGTCAGGATTCTTCCAATTAATTCACTTGCGTTACCAAATTTCTGAATTGTAAGCTTATGGTAGGCGTAATCCTAACATTTTAATCTCACCCACAAATAACGATAGCCACACAGGAGAGTGGTATTTTGACCAAATTTGATATGCCTTCTAGAAGTTGGACCTCTATCGTGTTCATATTGTTTCCGAAAAGGACGGTAATTCTGGAATGGAAGGTAGCAGAACAGTGAATATTTATAATGCTAAACATCGCCATTTGGTAAAAACCATTCTAGACCGTAGCCTTTTGGTAAAACCATTAAAACCATTATAGACCGTAGCCTTTTGGTAAAAACCATTAAAACCATTATAGACCGTAGCCTTTTGGTAAAAACCATTATAGACCGTAGCCTTTTGGTAAAAACCATTATAGACTGTAGCCTTTTGGTAAAAACCATTATAGACTGTAGTCATTTGGTAAAAGATGATGTACGGTTGTGGAATTCTGAATATCGATATATTTCGTCCTATTATTACCTCAAAATGCTTCTCAAAAAATATATCGTATTCTAGAAAGAGGAAAGGATAACTCCATAACAGAGGGTTACAGAACTATGTAGATCGGTTGGTTTCGTCCTTTCATTATCTCAAAGCTTCATACCAAATTTGAAAATAAATATCAGTTTAAAGGTTTTCAACAATAAAATGAAATGCAACAAAAATAGGTCCTGTATAGAGTCCGGCTATTCCAAGTCGTAATTACACTAAAAATATAATTACTAAAAAATTCCATTCAGTCAACTTATAAATATAAAGCTAGCTATGGCGTTATGTGTGCGAACACGATTGTATAATTTTATAATATTACAGACCGAACATGTATAATATGACCGAGGAGAAAGGGAGACCCAGATGTTTGTCGATGCCATAACCACTACTTCAAATGTTGGCATTCTTCAAATCAGCGTAGCAACCACACCAGTCCCCTTATGATGAAAATCATTTTAAAAATGCTTACAAATGGGGGGGGGGGGGGGCACTGGTGCTTTTTTTTATCATTATACGCATTTATAATTTTTGTCAGGGTGAAGATACAATATGATTTTCCCTCATTTGTCCAAAGTTATAATTTTAACAACTGTAATACACACTATATTAGGTAAGTATATGTATAGCATCACTATATTAGGTAAGTATATGTATAGCAACACTATATTAGGTAAGTATATGTATATCATCACTATATTAGGTAAGTATATGTATAGCAACACTATATTAGATAAGTATATGTATAGCATCACTATATTAGGTAAGTATATGTATAGCATCACTATATTAGGTAAGTATATGTATAGCATCACTATATTAGGTAAGTATATGTTAGAAACACTATATTAGGTAAGTATATGAATAGCACCACTATATTAGGTAAGTATATGTATAGTACCACTATATTAGGTAAGTATATGTATAGCAACACTATATTTGGTAAGTATATGTATAGCATCACTATATTAGGTAAGTATATGTATAGCAACACTATATTAGGTAAGTATATGTATAGCAAAACTATATTAGGTAAGTATATATATAGCATCACTATATTAAGTAAGTATATGAATAGCATCATATTGAACTTATTCATTAAGATAGACTTTATAATAGTTTGATATAAATCTTATCAAAGCCCAAGTTAATAACAAGCATTTATAATAGTTTGATATAAGTCTTATCAAAGTCCAAGTTAATAACAAGCATTTATTTATCATTGATAATAAATCTACAGTAATACCTAAACAATGACAGAATTTATTCACACTTTTGTTAACAGCATTAGATGTCTGTAAAGATATCAGCAGCGACTGTCAGCCATGTGATACCACCAAATATCCTATAGATGACGTAAATAGACAGAATTGTATGAGGTCATGTGATGTTTGTACAGGTATTATTTGTTGTTGTTTTTTCGTTAAAGATACATTTTGTAAGATTTAGATAACGAGCTGGTCTATGAATAGCCTAAACTAGTTAAAGATAATAAATACCCAAGAACTTGTGCATTTTACTCAGTGTGACTGGACGCCGAAAGTTTGATCAAATGATCTAATACAACCGTTAGAAAAATACTGGGTGCAGTTTTGATTTTACTGGTAAATATACATTACTATCTAAAGGGCCAATCTCGATTACTTTTTTGGATCATAAAACTGCTTAATTTTGTGTTAAAATTCTCTACCTCAGGGCCGAACATCTAACTCAATATACGGGATACATTTTCAAACAACTTTTGGAGACCGGTGTTCCAAGTTGTATTATACGGCGTCTAGAAAAAAAAACAGACTTTTATTTTATAAAAATAAACTGTATGTGAAATTTACCTTTTGTTATCACTGTATAGACCTATAAGGGAACGACAAAGTAAATATACCATTCCGCCATATTTTGGCGTTTAAATTTCATACGTACACTGACTTTTATTTCTGAGACCCTGTTAAAAGCGGGATGGTCACTTTAAAATAAGACACGTAGACATTCATTATAATAAATATGATATATTTACAAGTTACTAACGTGGCTTATAATAAACCAACCAACCAAAGTTCAACCTATACTGAATATGTTGGGGACCCTAGATCTTTACCATCTCATGCTGTAGATGGTAACGTCAGCCAGGTATGGGGTGGCACCATGTCATGTACCCATACAAAGACAGGTTCTCCGAGCTGGTGGTGTGTTGATCTACAACAGATTTATAATATTGACAGCATCAAACTATTTAATAGAGAAGGATGTAAGTATACATCAAGTCAAGTCAAAGATTACATATCTAATGTCAAATATCACTTAGAAACATTCTTAAAGAACCTAACTACAGCCAATGATTGTTATACAATATTTACTTTTAACAAAAGGCATGTTTCAGATCTTGTTTC